TTTTCTAAGTACAGGTCTTTTACATCCTTAAATATATTCCTAGGTATTTTGTCTGTTTTGAAACAATTGTGAATGGGATTATTTTCTTAGTTTTCTTTTCTGATAGTTCATTATTGGTGTATAAACATGCAACTGATTTCTGGTAATTTATTTTGTATCCTACTACTTTACTAAATTCATTTATCAGTTCTAATTGTTTTTTGGTGGAATCTTTAGGGTTACCTATATACCATATCATGTCATTTGCAAAAATGACAGCCTTACTTCTTCCTTTCAAATATAGATGCCCTTCTTCTTCTTCTTCTTCTTCTTCTTCTTCTTCTTCTTCTTCTTCTTCTTCTTCTTCTCCTCCTCCTCCTCCTCCTCCTCCTCCTCCTCCTCCTCCTCTTCCTCCTCCTTCTCCTCTTCCTCCTCCTTCTCCTCCTCCTCCTCCTCCTCCTCCTCCTCTTCCTCCTCCTTCCCTTTCTTCTCCTCCTCCTCCTCCTCCTCCTCCTCCTCCTCCTCCTCCTTCTTCTTCTTATCTAATTACGGTGGTTAGGACTTCTACTACAATGTTGAATAAGCATGGTGAAAGTAGACATTCCTGTCTTGTTATCAAGCTTAAGGGAAGCACTTGTAGTTTTTGCCCATTGACTATGACATTGGCTGTGGGTTTGTCATATATTGCTTTTATTATGTTGAAGTATGTTCCATCTATTCCCACTTTTTGAGAGTTTTTTTTTATCAAAAAATGGGTGCTGGATTTTATCAAATGCTTGGTCTGCATCTGTTGACATGATTATGTGCTTTTTATCCTTCGTTTTGTTTATGTGGTGTATCACTTTCATTGATTTATGGATATTGTACCAACCTTGCATCCCATAATAAATCCCACTTCATCATGGTATAGGATCTTTTTTAATGTATTGCTGGATCTGATTTGCAAATATTTTGTTGAGGATTTTAGCATCTATGCTCATCAGATTGGCCTATAATTTTCTTTCTTGTAGTGTCTTTATTTGGTTTTGGAAATAGGATAATTCTAGTCTTATAAAATGAGCTTGGGAGTCTTCCTTTTTAATTTTTTATAATAGTTTGAGAAGGAAACGTTTTAGTTCTTTGAATGTTTGGTAAAATTTACCTGTGAATTTTGTTTTGGGGGAGTTTTTTTGTTTGTTTTGTTTGTTTTAATTACTGCTTCAATTTCACTAGTTGTAACCTATCCAGATTCTCTGAATCTTCCTGATTCAGTTTTGGAAGATTGGATATTTCTAGGAATTTATTCATTTCTTCCAGATTGTCTAATTCATTGGCTCATAGTTGTTTGTAATATTTTCTTGCAATCCTTTATATTTCTTTGGTGTCAGTTGTTTCTTCTCCTCTTTCATTTCTGATTTTATTTTATTTTGGTTCTCTTCCTTTCTTGCTGGATCTGGTAAAAGGTTTGTCAATGTTGTTTATCGTTTCAAAGAAACAGTTCTTGGTTTTATTGATCTTCTGTATTGTTTTTGCTAGATTTTATTTCTGCTCTGATTGTTATTATTTCCTCCCTTCACTGCACATTTTTGGCGGGGGCAGGAAGCTATAATGCCTTCTACTGGTAAGCAAGTAGAAACTGGGTCCAGCGATCAGAGGAATTTAGTCATGGAATAGTGGGTTACCCACAGCTGCCTCAAACCTACGTAGGGTCAGTCCTGTGGTCCCCACGTGTGCTCTGGATGCTTTTCCATGCCACTGCACTTACTGTAACAAGAGTTATACTCGGGGGGCAGAAAGGATGGGGAGGGTGAGGTCAAGTCTAACCCCAGGACTAGAGAGATGAAGGGACATATCTTGGCAGGAAGGGGCTTTGAGGGATTTTTTTCTGGGATGGGTGTTGTGTAGGAATCTCCTAGAAAACCCCGCCCCAATAGAAGTTGGTGTTGGCCTCTCAGCCCTGGGGACTGTGAGTTTTTTTTTAAGGAGGGGTTAGGCATTCTCGGCAAATTCTAGACAAAGTTAACCAGCCCTTCACGTCAAAGGTACATGTGTGTATTATGAAATAACTTTACATTTTTAACCAATATGTCAAGTTGAGACTCACACCCTCCTTGACTCTTTTCTCCTGTGGGGGTCCGTCTGGGTCTTGGATCCAGTTGTGGGAGGCATCAGGTGAACCAGCTACTCCACCTGGGCTCACTCAGGTTTGGCCAGGCCGGTATATGTCGCCTACCTCCAGTCTCTCTGACCCTCCTGCCATCAGAGCCCCTTCCTGTCAGGACGAAGTCAGGAAAGCTGATCTGTCCCTTTATCTCTCTAGTCCTGGGGCTGGACTTGACCTCACAGCCCTATCCCTTCCGCCCCCAGAGTATAACTCTCTTTATAGCAAGTGCAGCAGCATGGCAAGGCATCCATGCAGCATGTGGGACCTCAGGACTGACCTCGGTGGATCCGAGGCAGCTGTGGGAGACCCACTATTCCATGACCAAATTCCTGTGATCGCTGGACCCTGTTCCTACTTGCTTACCCGTAGAAGAGGTTTACAGCTCCCTGCCAAAAACAACTGTGCAGTGCCTCACAAATACTGGGAGACATGACCCGTCTCCACTCGTGAGTGTTGTGTGTTGGTCGTGACCATGCAAAACAAGCCCACTTTGAGGTATGCCAGGGGAAGGTCACAAGAAAAACACGATGAGAGACTGGGGTTCCAGTTTTTAGACAAGATTATGCAGATTCCCCGAGAATCGGGGTGCACAGACTGTGTGGGCAGCTGAGAACATAAAGCACAGAGACAGGGGCCCAGGCCGGGTCCTGCGAGGAACGCAGAGACCACTGCCTTCCTGTGCTGGTGGCAGGGGAGCAGGTCTACCAGGACTCACTGTGGGGACAAGAGCAAGCCCTGCGGTGGAAACGCTGGCCCCAAATTTGGAGGCAGGCTGGAAACATCAGTCATTTTCAGAACAAAGTGATCAACCGTACGTGACAACTGGTGCTTTCAGCTTGGGCCTGTTCCAGGGGCCAGGCAGTGGAATGAGAGGTGTCTGCAGATCTGGATGGGGTGGGGACAGAGAGGAAAAGCTGAAGGACCATTGAATCATAGGTCCCCCGGGGGTCAGATGATCCTCTGTCCACCTGCCACATTACCTAAGCTGGGCTATTCACTTTGTAAAATAAAAGGTGATAATATCTGACTCACGTGCTGTCGATGGGTATATGGCCCTTGGAAACAACACAAGTGACACGGTGTGAAGGACAGTGGGTGCTGAGTATCAGAGAGGATGTCAGTGTAGCTGGTGTGAGCCACGCCTGGGTGGCAAGCCCCTGGTGGCACCTGCCCTGCTGCTGCCTGGTGTGCCACCTGCCCGGGCCTGAGGGTTGTGACAGGCAATTGGCCTGGATGACCGCAGTCTCTAGGGCTGCTGGGGGAGTGTACCTAGCTGCCCTTAACTAAAAACAAAACCGAGAAGCCAGTTTTGCTGTCGGTTGTCAGTGCAGCTACAATCCACTCACCAGGGGCACTGACGAGTTTCCGGAGGGCAGTCCGGGTACCTGCCTGAACGAGACGTCTGACTGAATGGAATAGTCTCCGCCTTCAGCTTGGGCTTCAGCCAGGAACCTCGTGCTGTTCAGGGCCTGGATAAGAACTGGAGGAGCGAGAGATCGGAAAACAGCAGAGAGTCCACAGGAGATGTTTAATGTCTGTAGATCATAGATTCTGGAAGGAGCAAAGGCAAAAGCAGCTTTAAATGAGGGAAGAGAAAGGGCTTTTCAGGAACAGACAATATCATGGCACTTTCTGGCTGAGCTGGATGGGACATGCTATCGGAGGCCGGAGTGGACACAGCCCGTGGTGGGCTGAGTCAGGACACACCTGCACTCACTCGATCAGAGTCTCTGGAAAATCTCAGCAGGTGAGCAGCGGTAGATGCAGGCCTGCTGCTCCCAGGACCTGCTGTGTGCCTCCACCGGCTGCGCCTGGCCAGCTCGGGGTTCCTCCACCTCCAGAAGTATCCCAGCCATCATGCTGTCTGGAGGCATGAGCCTTCCTCAGGTCTGTGGAGTCCGGCCTCTCCAGGGTGTCCTGAGTGAGTGGTGACGGCAGAGAAAGGGACGGAAGTACTCCTCGTGGGAGGATTCTTGGACTCTGGGTGCAAGCGTAGCTTCCCCCAGGTCTCTGGTCTCTGCTGCTGGGAGCGTGGGAGTGGGTAATCGCCACGCGGACGGGGTACGCGGGAGCTTCAGCCGTGTTTATGGAAGCTCCTCATCACGTGGAGAGCCCTCGGGAGGCACTCCACTGGGACAGTCTCTTAGCCGAGGTCCCTAAAACGGGGGAAGTGATGCTGGTGATGGACATGCTAGTATCCCAGGCGGGTGGCTTCCCAAGCCAGTGGGTCCAGCACGTCGGCCTGGGCACTGCCACCCGGGAACACTGTGGGAGCAGCCGGGGCAGCCGGGGCCTGGGGCAGTCCCTGTCCTTTGCAGGCAGATTTCTAGGAGGAGACGGGGTGGAGCTCCCACTGAGGCCAAGCCCAGTGGAAAGAATGTTGGCGAAGGTTGATGGGCTCATGGTTTCAGTGGGCAGGGGGCCTGGCCTGAGAGGGTGGAGATGTCCCCCGGGGATGTCTGCCTGGAGGGCCCTTGGGTCGGCCAGGGCTCTGCTGACCTGGGCCCTGGGAGGTCTGAGCTCATGGGGCCAGGCCAGGCTCACTCCCTCCTCCCTTGCTCCCTGAGGGGCCAAGACCCCAACACCCTGGCCCTATGTGTGGGCATCCATTCTCTCCTGGACCCAGCCAGGGGTCTGGCCAGCCTGTTCTGTGACCCTAGTTCTGCCAGGAGGTGGGGTTCTATGTGGCCGGCCTGGGCCAGGTGAGGAGCCACTGGTGCCTAAGACCTGCCTCAGAGTGTTTCTCCCAAAGGCCAGTGTGCCCAAGGGTCCAGCAAGAGGCTGTACTGCTGCCACCATGACTGCACCCCCTCATCCCCTTACCCCCCAAGCTGGCCGGGAGCAGCTCAGGACAGTTTCCTCCTTCCTTTCATCTCAGACCTGCCTGACCAGTGCTCTCCAAACCCCTGCAGTAAGGAGGGGACCCAAGTCTGCCAAGACCTCATGGGCAACTTCTTCTGCCAGTGCAAAGCCGGCTGGGCGGGACGGCTCTGTGACAAAGGTAAGGCCACCACAGCCGCAGGACAGGGGATGAGGTGTGGGGATTGGGACCTCCCTTCGGGGCCCCTCCCTCTTTTCCCACTCCCCCCCCCTCCGTGGGGACACAGCCATGCTGGTCCGTTCTGGCTGAGACCGGAGTGGGAGGCGTGGAAGTGCCTGTAGGCTGTCCTAGGACTCAGGCCCCTCACTGGTCAGCCTCCACTCAGCTCCCGGGCAAGGAGGAAGGAGATGGGTGTCAGGGCATCCCTGGCCCCTCACAAGAGTCATCCCAGAGTGAGAATGTTTAATCAGTGCTGGAGGCCCTGCTTTGCCTCTTGAGACAGGGGCACTGTCGGGCGGGAGAGGCCATGGGTCAACTCCTGAGAGAGCTGGGGAGGAGCAGAGGGTTTCCCCTCAAGAGCAGGGCTGGAGCAAAGGACAGGGCCACCGCAGGAGCCTAGTGGCTGCCCACTGAGCCTCAGACCCCAGTGAATTAACAGAATGAGGGTACTTTCTTCTGTCTTGAGTCTGCAGTTGTACGGTGTCAGCAAAGAAGCTGCACACACACACGCACACACACCCCACCCAGGACCTCATGTGTTCCCTCAGGCGGGCCCTTCACTGTGATGGAGAGCCAGGCCTCACCTCAGGGCCTCCTGGTTTTCCCTCCTGGGGCTGTTGAGCAGAACTGGAAGCCCTGCCCACAGGTGGTCCGCGAGGGCTCAGCTCAGCCTGCGTGGGGCTTAGCTACACTGTGTATGGGCCTTGCGGCTGCCTGGCCATACCCACCCTTGGGCACATTAGCCTTCTGCCCTCGTCCCATCCGCACTCGGACGGCCACAGAGCTGGCACTGGACTGTCACCACCCATAGCACGGGCGATCTCCCTGGGCCCTCCGCCCTGGCCTGGGGGCGGGTGCAGTGGGGAGAGACGTGCAGACACTGCCACGTGCTCGAGGCAGATGTGTGTCACCTCCGGGTTGTCCCCAATCCCTCTGTGTGTGTCCTGTGTGTGCCCAGATGTCAACGAATGCAGCCAGAAGAACGGGGGGTGCAACCAGATATGCTACAACAAGCCGGGCAGCTTCCACTGCGCCTGCTACAGCGGCTACGAGCTCTCCCGGGACAGCCGGATCTGCCAAGGTAAGGCCTGGGTCCGCCCGAGCCTTCCCCGCCTCTCTCCTCTCCCGGCACCCTCCTCACAGCTCCTCCTCTCTTTCACTTTTGCAGTTGCCAAGTTGCTGAAGTTGGCAGTCACGTTGGCTCCTCTGCAAGAGGCTGTTGGCAGTGGCTGCCTCTTTGGCTCTGGAAGGGAGGGCAGAAAGGAGGGGGGGTTTCTGCAGAAGGAGCTCATGCCCGGGCATGCCGGCAGCCCGAGGGAGCTGCCCAGCACCATCTCGGCGGCACCACGGCCGGGATGAGTCACTGTGTCTGTGGACGAGGCCAGCCCCGCGCAGGTGGAGACCACAGCCCCGAGGGAGTGCGGCTGCTGGGCCTCCTCACAGTGCCATGGAGCCGCAAGTGTACACGGGGTACTCACCCAGAAGAGCTGTCTCCTCCCCGCTCTCGGGGGCTCTGCCCGTGTCCCTGGTGCGGCTGCTGCCAGTCTGCACCCACCACTGCACTTGCCGAAGGGAAGCCAGGTTTCTGAGCTCCCGGATGTAGGGTTGGCCAGCCTGGCTTCCGAAATGAAATACGGGTTCCGAAGCATCAGCAGAGATCAATCTGACACAGGAGAACCCGGCTGTTTCACACACTCGCTCTGAGGGAACACGTGCTGGTGTTGGCTCATTCTTATATCTGTGAGCAAGGTCTTACAGCATGTCAAACGCCCGGGCCGTGGGCTGCATGCCTCATTTATCTGGCCCGTGTTAGCCTTTGAGTTTGACATGCTTGTCTTACAGTGTTCATGTTTGAAAGCCTGTGTTTGTTGGTAAACTATCCTTGTAAAAAAAACTTAGGAATCGTTGGGAAGCTTTGTAATACAGGGCTTTATGTTGCCATAAGACCATGGTAGGCAAACTGCGGCTCACAAGCCACATGCTGCTCTTTGGACTCTTGAGTGTGGCTCTTCCACAAAATACCATGGCCCGGGCGAGTCTATTTTGAAGAAGTAGTGTTAGAAGAAGTTTACGTTTAAAAAATTTGGTTCTCAAAAGAAACTTCAATCGTACTGTTGATATTTGGTTCTGTTGACCAATGAATTTGCCGACCACTGCCATAGGAGGAATCACATGTTATTTGAAATAATCACATTTTCTAGAACCAACATTTTCTAGATATTCTTTCTGTTGCTGAAGGGAATGGGTTTTCGTTTTTAATATTTTTATTGATTTTTTACAGAGAGGAAGGGAGAGAGATAGAGAGCTAGAAACGTCGATGAGAGAGAAACACCGACCAGCTGCCTCTTGCACACCCCCTACTGGAGATGTGCCCGCAACCAATGTACATGCCCTTGACTGGAATCGAACCTGGGACCTTTCAGTCCGTAGACCGACACTCTACCACTGAGCCAAACCGGCTTCGGCGGGAATGGGTTTTTAACAGCCGGGTTTTGGTTGCCAAAGTGGCAGAGTGGATGGAAATACAGGACAGAACCTTGGTGGTGTCTCATTACTGGGGTTTGATTTCCAAAGAACAGAGCCCAGTGTGAGGGGCGTGGAGGCCGTCCCCGGTGGTGGAGCTGAGTCCAGGGTGCCCAGAGGGAAGCAGGGGGCTCCAGGGGCACAGGGCAGGGCTGTACCTCAGAAGGCCCCCAGGGGGTACTGTTTTACCTCCCTGTGCTGCAAGTATTTGAATTAAACAACAAGTCTGTGCACACCTCTGGCCAAGCAGTGCTCTCTCCAATGTCGGAAATTGACCTTTGGTCAGGACCCCTGATCAGAAAGTCCCTACGTCCTCAGTGCCTGCTCCTTTCCTAGAGCTGAAAATTCCAATGGATGGAAGGAAGGAATCAGACGGGGAGGGGTGAAAGGGGAGAGGAAGAGGGCAGGGTCAGGACTGGAGGAACCTGGGACCAGGATGCTCTCAGGGGCCTGTAGCCAGCCTGCCAGCAGTACATTCCTGGCTCCCCACTGGTGGCCTAGGCCGGCTGCCTGCTCCCTGTCAGTCTGGACACAGCTGTGGTCCTCTGGCTTGTTTTGCAGACATAGATGAGTGTGCAGATGCGGACGCCTGCGGGGAGGCGCGCTGCAGGAACCTGCCTGGCTCCTACTCCTGCCTGTGCGACGAGGGCTACGCATTCATCTCCCAGGAGAAGGCCTGCCGAGGTACCCATCCCAGCCGCTGCAGGCACCGCACACATACATACACACACATGCATGCCCTGCAGGTATGTAAACACGTACACTGTGTGTACATGCATTTGTGTGCACATGCTAATCACACATGTGTGCACCACACACATATGCACACACACGGGCTTCTCAATGCATCTGGGCACCTTCTCCAACATGCCACGGGCACAGAGATAGATACACAAGGACATGTGCTCCTGCAGCTCCCTGGGGCTTCTCTCCAACCTCCACTCAATGAGCTGGAGTTGGGGTCAGGCCTGTGAGCTCTCACTTCCCCTGCTGAGTCCAGCCATGTCCTTGGGGAGCCGAGAGAGATGTTCTCTCTCTCCCCAGCTTCTTGCCTGGTGCCCTGACAGCTGCCCAAAACTTGAGGGAGAGGATAGGGTGGTCCCAGCCCCTGCATCCTTCTCTGTCTCCCAGATCCTCTCTTGAGTCCCCCAAACACTCCAGGGACTACTATTCATGCACACACCTGCCCCAGAACCTTCAAGCCAAGCATCGTATAGATGAAATTGTTTGCTGACCCGCGAGTGTGTGGCAGGCTTCCCTCGTCGTAATACCCGCCCTCACCTTGTACAGACACTGCTCCCATAGGAAAGAGCAGGTCGGACACTGGGGCTGCGGGGAGGCCAGGGTGGGACCTCTGGAAGTGGGGGCTTGGAGGTGAGTGCCTCCCAAGTCACAGCAAACACGCCATGGGTGCCCTCAGAGAGCAAGCATGTGTGATTGCACAAAGTGAGGTGGGGACGTTTCCCTTGCGGCCAACAGATGTGGACGAGTGCACGGAGGGGCGCTGTGAGCAGGCCTGCGTCAATGCCCCGGGGACCTACACCTGCCACTGCAACGGACGCGGGGGCCTCAAGCTGTCCCGGGACATGAACACCTGCGAGGTAGCACCCACCTGTAGCCGGGACGCTCCGCCTTGTCCTCAACTGACTGAGCTGTCCAGGCAGACGGACAGGGCTGCTGGGAAAAATGCTTTTGTTGAAAAGCCTGGTGTGCTGGGGGCTACGTGGAGAGGGGTGGGGTGGAAGACGTGCTGGTCCCACCGAGGGGGTTGGTTGTATCTATGAGGTTGCTACAGCAGCTCCCTACACCACCACGGACCGGGTGGTGTGGATCTGCAGTGTGCATCGCTGGCACGGAAATGATGTATCCTTGCCCCGAAGGTCCCTCAGGTGTGCCCTCTGAGCCCCCTGACTCAGGTGTCCCTCAGGTTTGCCCTCTGAGCTCCCTGACTCTGGGGTCCCTCGGGTGTGACTTCTGAGCCCCCTGACTCTGAGGTCCCTCAGGTGTGCCCTCTGAAACTCCTGACTCTGGGGTCCCTCAGGTGTGCCCTCAGAGCCGCCTGACTCTGGGATCCCTTGGGTGTGCCCTCCATGCCCCCTGACTCTGGGGTCCCTCAGGTGTGTGTCAGTGCCTCCTGACTCTGGCTGGCCCCTGACCACCAGCTTGGGGCTCACACCGCTGTGTCCGGCTGGCAGGGAGGAGCTGCACTGTAAAGCAGCCTCTAGTAACCAAAGGAACAATAGGAATAACAAAGCACACCTGATTCATGTCACCTGATCCAGATGAGCGTCGGGGAAGCTGGAGTCTCCAAATACTGCTCAACTGATTTTTTTTTTAATTTTTTTAATTTTTTTTCAACCATATCGTTATCTATGAAGAATTCTTCCAATAAATAAAATGCATGCCCAGACAAGTAACACAAAACCTAGAAAATGGTCTGACTAATCAACGAAAGCATACAAGTGCTTTCCAGCTACCAGACGCTAACATTTTTACTACTGCCCCTAGGACATAGGGAAACCAAAATTAGTGGATGGCAACTATCCAGAAACACCAGCCTCCAAAGCCTCCATATTTTATTGATTTTACAGTATTTTATAGTTGCTTTTTATTATTCCCTACACTTTGTGTAGGTTTGAAATATTTCATAGTTGTTTTGTTTTGTTTTGTTTTTTTAATAAGAGGGAAAGGAACATTGGCAGGGAAGATGGCTATGGCATAGCAGGGAGAAGTACCCTAGGGCCCTGGTCGGCAAATTGCAGCTCAAGAGCCACATGTGGCTCTTTGGCCCCTTGAGTGCGGCTCTTCCACAAAATACCACGAACTGGGCGAGTCTATTTTGAAGAAGTGGCGTTAGAAGAAGTTTAAGTTAAAAAGAAAAAAAAAATGGCTCTCAAAAGAAATTTCAGTCTTTGTACTGTTGATATTTGGCTCTGTTGACTAATGAGTTTGCCGACCAAGGGGATCCCGCTGGGAGTGCAATAGCCCGAGGCTTCTGGGGAGACTGAGTCCAGCCTCGCCTGGGAGCGCCACGCGGTGGGTTGGGCTCTCAGGGAGTCCTGAGGGGTTTTAGCAGGAATTGAGCCCTGACGCCAAGCACTGCCTGTGTGTGTGCCAGGGCCCTCGCCGGGCGGGGTGAGTGGCAGGACACAGAGGGCTGGGCCTGCGTCTGGCGGGCCCTTCAGAGCCGGAAGAAGGGCTGAACCAGGGCATGCCCCTGCCTGATGCGCTCCCGTTCCACAGGACATTCTGCCCTGTGTGCCTCTCAATGTGGCCAGAAGCATGAAGTCCTTGTACCTGGGCCGCATGTTCAGCGGGACGCCAGTGATCAGGCTGCGCTTCAAAAGGCTTCAGCCCACGAGGTGAGGAGGTGGCTGACCCAACAGGCCCCTGGGAAATGGCCATATGATGCTCAGCTCCCCAGGTTCCCAGGATGACACCCAGCATGGTCCTGGCTGCCCTGGCTATCCGCTCGGTCTTGGCACTGACTCAGCCACAGGGTGGATTTCGTGCTGGGTGCTGGGCTCTGGGTCAACACCAGCAAGACCCATCCCATAAGCACTTTGTTTGCCCCGGGTGCCTGTGGGGTGGGGGCCTTGGCAGGGGTTGCCACAGGATGCTGGCCTGCTTTCCTATTTCTCTTGCTGGGGCCATGTGAGCTCTCACCGGCCTGCGTCTCACCACTTTGTGTCTCGATGCCGCACTCAGATTGGTGGCCGAGTTCGACTTCAGGACCTTTGACCCCGAAGGCATCCTTTTCTTTGCTGGAGGCCATCAAGGCAGCAACTGGATCGTCCTGGGCCTGCGAGCTGGGCGGCTGGAGCTGCAGCTCCGCTATCAGGGCGTCGGCCGCGTCACCAGCAGCGGGCCCATCATCAACCACGGCATGTGGCAGACGGTGAGTGTGGCCCACGACCCCTCCTGGGTCCCCTGGGATGAGGCTCAGGCAATTACTCATTCGCTCACACACTCAACAGTTGGTGGGTACTGCACCTGGCAGGACAGGCCCTCTCATCCGTGTTCCCCCTCACCCCCCCCCCGCCCCTGCCGCCCCCAGAACTTGCAGTCCGATGGGGCATTAGCTCATCATGTAATCAGAGCATGGCTCCCACCTCAAGAGCCATGACTCTCAGCAGGGGAAATTCCACCAGGAGATGTGTCTGTATCTGGAGTCACAGTTTGTGGGTAGAGGACCAAGGCACGGGGGTCAAGGCCAGGGAGGTTGCTAGATTCCCTGCAGCACACAGAATGCCCCTCTGCAGCGAACCCTCCGGTTCAGACTGTTCATGGTGCTCCGGTTAAGAAACTCTGGCCAGGGTCCAGGCACCTGCTCAGTCTCCACATGGCCTGTCCAGGCTCCAGGAACTCACCTGTCTGCTTAAGGCAGGCTCAGATGGACACACTGACTCTGTCCCGGGCTCTGGCTTCTGGTGTCTTTCCTGTTCTTGCTGAACTCACCCTCGGGTGCTTGTTATGGAGAATGTCCTGCTGAGACCTGACCTGGAGGCAGCTGTTGCGCCAGATGTTGACTTTGGAGCACTCAGTCTTGTCCTGCCTCCCACACCCGGAGCCAAGCAACCTGGGAAGCCACAGGCTCCCTCCAACAGCTCAGAGGTTCCATCACTGGAAGTGGGCCTTTAAAAGTAAACAGTTGAACGAGAAATGAAGAAAACGTTCTCTTTTCCTTTAGAAGTGGAGATAAAATGGAAAAGGTCGCCCAGCCTTTGTGAATGAAAACACTTAGGTATTTGCTGATATTTCCGTCCTGTCAAGCCCAGCTTAGTTCCTTCTCTCCTAACCTCTTAAAGTGCCAAAGTGGCAAGGCTGCAGATAAAACACCATATCTGGAAGGAAGCCACCTTCAGCACGGGTTGAAGCAAGTGTTTTCTCCATGTTTGTGGGTGTGAGGGGTCCTGGGTGGTTGGAGACAGTGCCAGGTGAGGAAGTGGGGGCAGCATGGCCAGTCAGTCAACAGAGGTACCATCTACCCTGAGAAGGAGCTGGTCCTTGAGGATTTCTTTCCAATCTGTCCACGGTTTCTAACCAGTCCCTGCCACCACAGCACCCCACATACAGACACCACGCTTTTTTTGACTAAACTCAGACCCAAGTACCTAAATGTTTCTCCACATTAGCCAAAGAGGAGACTGGTCGATTTCTGGAAGATTAGGGAGATACACAGTATAGAGAGGGATAGGTTTTAAAACATTTTCTACACAGAAAGTGGGAAAGAATGAAAAGTCTTAGGATGAACTCATGTGTTCATTTAGCATCTAGTGGATGCCAGGCTCCGAGATGAGTGTTGGAGATTTAGAAATAAATGTATTCTCCTGCCTTCAGTGGTGCACAGCTGAAGATAAGGACCAAAATGGACTTAGTGGGGTGGTGACATCAGTGCTGACCCAGTGATGTCAGGGCTGACCCACTGGTGATGACATCAGAGCTGACCCAGTGAGGTGGTGACATCAGGGCTGGCCCAGTGGGGTGTGATGTCAGCCACAGTTCCCTCTCCCTGGCTGAGGTTTAGGGAAGTTCTCTGAGACACTGGTTGGGAAAAATGGATCCAAATGGGCTCCTTTTTAGGGAGAGCATGGGCGAGGAGTAGGGAGTGGTATTATTACTATCTTCCCTCAGAGGGGAGGGGAGGGATGTCTGTCCTGCCCACAGCCTCCAGGCACCGACCACATGGAGGCTGTATGGGCACACGGAGGCAGGGAGGAGGTGTGGGTGATGGACCTGTTATCCTGAGGTGGGGTGTCCTGTGGTCCTGGGTGGTGATGAGCGTGGTCCCCCGAGGTCGTGCCCCTCAGACGGCACACTCCCACTCTCATAGCTGGTTTCCCCAGGTCTCCATTGAGGAGCTGGAGCAGAGTCTGGTCATCAAGGTGAACAAGGATGCTGTGATGAAGATCGTGGTGGCCGGGAATCTGTTTCAGCAGGTCAGGGGCCTGTACCACCTCAACCTCACCGTGGGAGGCATTCCCTTCAAGGAGAAAGACCTCGTCCAGCCTGTAAGTGTGTTAGTTGATGCTGGGGTCAGGGTCAGGGCCTGGGGTCGGGCTGAGACATGGGTTAGCTGTGAGCTGCCCTGTGCTGGTTAACTACATTGGGTGAAGGTCCCAGAGAAAGATCAAGTTTTCCTGGAAGTGAACAAGCAGCAGGTGCAACTGATAGCATCTATCTCACCGTCATTGCCCATGAGAATCACATGAGCTTTCCTCTGAATTGATAACAAAAGTGTCAGTTTTGCAGTGGAGACAAAAACAGTGAATTTGCCAAAACCGGTTTGGCTCAGTGGTAGAGTGTCAGTCTGCAGACTGAAAGGTCCCAGGTTCGATTCTGGTCAGGGGCATGTATGTTGGTTGCGGGCACATCCCCAGTAGGGGGTATGCAAGAGGCAGCTGGTCGATGTTTCTCTCTCATCAACGTTTCTAGCTCTCTCTCTCCCTTCCTCTCTGTAAAAAAATCAATAAAATATATTTTTAAAAAATAAATAAATAAAAAATAAAATGATACACTTTGTATAAAGTTTAAAAATAAAATTAAAAAAAAACAAACAGTGAAATTATTCTTGAACAAAAAGAGCAATCTGCTTTTTCGGGCAATTCCTAAGAACATTTGGGTTGTTGACCCTGCCGGGATTTTTGTAGGGGAAAAGGCCTAACGGGGTGGTCAGTACTGGTCACATTTAGCGTCCTGCCTTTCCCACCCTCCCCGCACCACATGCCTTTGCCCCTCATCTATGCTTCTCCCTCTCCCAGCATGCTGATGTCCGGGGCCAGGATCGTTGGCACTGCGACAATGGTTTCCACACCAGATATGAGTCAGATGGACACACTGACTCTGTCCCGGGCTTGATGAGTTGATGTTCTGCACAGTGGGTGGTATTAGCACTATCTTCCCTCCAGAGGAGAGGGGAGGGACGACCTGTCCTGCCCATGGCCTCCAGGACCAGCCCTGTTCCATCCCACAGTTACCAGTTGCATCCCTTATGCCTCCTCATTCTACAGATCCAATCAGAAGTGCCCTGATTCACTCAAAACCATCTAGAAAGTGGGTGGCCAGGCTGGAATCAGTATTCCTGGCCCCGAGAATACTGATTTTTTTTTTTTTTTTACATCTGTGGTGTTTTTATGGGTGCCGGGTAAGAAGACCAGGCACATTGTGGTATAAGTGCTGCCTCACCCCACATCCTTTCAGCTGGTGGCCAGTGCTCCCTACTCTGTTTTACACATAGGGACACCGATGCAGAAAGAGCAGGTGGGGTTCACAGCACGATTCGTGTTCTCAGACTGCAGGGAAGGGGCCCACCATGGGTGCCACACTCAGAGGGGTTCTGCAGCAAGTCATTTGTCGAGGACAGCGCCCCTTTGTGAGACAGACAACCTCCCCACGTAGGGTTCGGCCGTCTTGCAGCCGATCTTCATGGGCCTGGGCCAGGGGGTGCCCCATTCCTCTGACGAGGGTGGCACCCGCCAGGTGTCCTCTCCTCGTGGTGTCTGGGAGCCCGTGGCTGCGAGGAAACCGCTGGGATTTCTCTGTCTTTCCAGATAAACCCCCGCCTGGATGGCTGCATGAGGAGCTGGAACTTGATGAACGGCGAAGACACCACCATTCAAGAAACAGTGAAAATGAACACGAAGATGCAGTGCTTCTCTGTGACTGAGAAAGGTTCCTTCTATCCGGGCAATGGGTTTGCCTTCTACAGCCTTGACTACGGTGAGTCTGGGCTCCTCGGCAGGGAAGCCAATATACACGAGGCAATGGAAAACCAAGGAACAGCTTCTTACCTGGGATGGCAATGTCGGGGGCAAGCGGGGCCCACCATGGGCTGCGGGGTAGGAGGCAGCAGGCGGGGGCACAGGCCCTGCCTCTCGGGCCTGTTTTGAGTTGGTCCATGAGGAAGAAATGGCAGATGGAGAGATGGAGAGAAGAGACCCCCCTGCTGGTGTGGTGGTGGCTGAGCTAGGGAGGCTGAGGAAGGCCAGAAGGCTCTAAGAGGGCCTCTGCAGAGGGCTCTGAGACAAGACGAGCTTGGGTTTGTCCAAGTGGATGGAGAAGCTCCCCAAAGTGTACGCGGCATTGCCATCTCCAGGGACTCACGAGGCCTTCAAAGGGGGCAGCATCTAAAAGTCACAGTGCGGCTGATTCAGGGACTCTAGTGAGCCCAAGTTTTAAAGAAAGAGAACGGGGGAAGGATGACTAGAAGCCGGTGGGCCAGGCCCAGACACTGCCCAGAAGGCTGTTGCTCCCAAAAGAATTGAGGCTCCCGAGCCAGTGTTGAAAGCCACCAAAGAGCTCTCCATTGACACCTGGCGACAGACAGTGCCATGAAAGGAAGGTGAATCTCTGTGCAATACTGCACAGCAGGAAGAAGACGGGAGATGGGGCAGACAGAGGCAGGCAGGAGTGGCATACGCTGAGCTGTGTGGGGATGGTGGAGATGGTGAGGGGGTGGGGCTGAGGTCAGCTGGAAACCACTCATTCATCAGTAACTCACTAGGGATGGTAGCTGCAGAGGGTGGGCCCAGAAGCCCTCCTGGCTTCTGTAAAGCAGGACCCAATTTCTAAAAACAAAACACAATACAGCTATCTTTCCTTTTATTATCAAATGAGTGACAATTTACAGTAAAAACAAATGATCCTGACATGCTGACAAGTGAGCATTCCCCTAAACATAAACTTTATAAGACATGAATTAACATCCCAAGTCACGTTATTGATTGCCCGATGATCAAAATGCCGTCCTCAGAATGTGACATGAGTGATTTGGATGGTGTTGGATGGCTAAGCAACTCTGTGGTTTGATTCTGGTTTTCCCTAATCTTCTCCTTAGATAAGTTTAAAATCAATCTTTGTTTCTCGTCACTGTGCCTGGGCTCATAGGCCTGAGTCGCTCTGAGCTTGAGGATGCTAGGAGAGCCATGCATCCTGGCCCAGGAAAATACACACAGAATTGTGCAAGTGGGTTCACTGGCCCCCTGGAGCCCGCAGGACACCCCATCCAGAGCCTTCTCTGTGTGATGGCTCTTACCGGTGCTTCCTGCATCTCTCTGGCTCCAGGCCCTCACCTGGTCCAGGCAGGCTCTGTGGGAATTCCTCATGCTCTCTCTTCCACAGCCCACCGGGTCCAGGGTCCCAGCATCACGGCAATGCCATCTCTCCTGGGGCCATTTCCAGCTTTGCCCTGCCTCTCATTCCCACCTTGCAAGAGTCCCATGGGGGTGTCCCAGCCCTCCCTGTCCCTAAACTCTGGGCCTTTTATAATTAAACTTCCATCCTCGGCCTTTCACCTGCTCTTCAGCTCAGGGCCGGCAGCACGCTCCCTCCAGACCTCACCTCCACACATCACCTCAGCACACCGAGGGGCCTCTAAATAAAGGAGGGCCCATCCAGCTCAGAGGAGGTGAGACCTGCTTCTCCTCCTCAGCAGGACAGGCCCTCCTCTCGGGACCCTGTATCACCAGCCCCCTGTATCTTTGCTTTAAGGACCGTGTCATTAAAGGTATTTTGGAAGAAAGAACCATTCACTCCTAATCGTACCTCCTAGTATAATACATACATTATTCCTTTAGTCTTCATCTTTATACATACAAAGTGAGGGCATCATCATGTTCAATATAAAATCATATAATATAAAACGCTTACTTCTTTTTTCACTTGAATTTATAAACATTTTTCAAGGTGTAACGGAGACATTACAGGCATAACTTCCCGTGACTACAAACACTCCCATTACTGTACACGTCCTGGTCTGCTTCCCCTCTTTGCTGTGTGGTTTTTATCTGTAAGTTCTGTGACAGCCAAGTCCAAACGGTATTCAGAATCTATGCATTTTTAATGAGTCTTGAGCTATACCATCAATGTCCACTTTATAACTGACTCATTGGGAAATCACAGGTTCCGTATTCTTTCTTTCACTCTGCAATAGTTCAAAGTCCGGGTGGACTCACTAGGTCTCGAGGTCAGAGAAGCCGGTGCCTGAGAACAGTTCCCAGAAGGCATTGGTGCCTTCAACATGCTCCAACAACCAGCCATGGGCCCAAACCCCGTCAGAGGAGAAACTCACACACCAGAAAACACTCTTCTCTCTCCCTTCACAGCTAACGGGAAAACTTGGCAACAAAGGAAAATGTGTGTGTGTGTATGTGTGTGTGTATATAAAATGTATAATGTAATTATTTTTATAGTTGTTTTTAAATTCTGTGTGCACTCGATTCAATGGACAGTTATTGAGAACTGACCATAGAGGACCCCACTTTGGGACGGGACCCACAGATAATTCGAGGGGCTCACAGTCCAGTGGGGAGACAAAAATAGCATCATGATTCACCCTTGGTTCACCTGAGCTTGGACGCGTGTAGCATTGCTTTAGTGTCATTCTGCCTGAACACCTTCCTCCGTCAGGATTTTCAAGTTCTTGTGAGATAGAAACACTTAAAATCAAGAGGGCAGATTTCCTTTAGATGCATCATATATGGTATATCATATCACTTCTATATGACATACGATGCATGTAAATAAAAGTCACCCCCCTGAGGCATTGGAATAGTAAGAAAGCTGCAGCTCACAAGACACACTTGTATGTGGTCTGTTGGGATGATGCTCGTGGCAGCTCACATTTGCATTGCAGTTTAAACTCTTCAAAGTGCAGCCAACCTTGTAGAACTGCCTGAAAGCCACAGGTCAGATGCAGTGGGATGTTCTGTGGAAGAGCTGAGTCCTGCAGGAGAGACAGTGAGGGAGCCCAGGCCCACCCAGCACAGCATGCCTGCCTGTCCAGTCTGGTGGTCAGTCGGTCACTCCTGGGGCGTTCGGGAGACCAGGGCACTGGCCCGCCCAGGAAGGAGCCGCTGCCCTCGGATAGCCCCGGTGCCTTTGGACTGAATCAAGTGCCCGGGTTGTCCTGTCCCTTCCCAGCTGTGGGCTGTTGGCTCAAACAGTGATGGCTTCTTAAGAGCTCAGCGCTGAGTCCCTGGTCGGCTTCCCAGCTGCTCTGCGGCGCCAGGCAGGGCTGGGGCTGCTGCGGGTGCTCTCTGCTCACTCCCACCTCTCCCGCGTCTGTATGGCCTCTTGATGCGCCGCCTTCATTGCAGCACGAACATCCCCGGACGTTGGGACCGAGACAACCTGGGAAGTAGAGGTCGTGGCTCAGATCCGCCCCGCCACCGACACGGGGGTGCTGTTCGCTCTGGTGGGTGACAACCACACCGTCGCCCTCTCCGTGGCCCTGGTCGACTACCACTCCACCAAGAAGCTCAAAAAGCAGGTACCACCCCCCATCCCTCCCTCAGGGTGGAGGGACTGCCCCAGCGTCCAGCAAGCAACCAGGGGCTGTCCACCCTCAGGACCCTTCCTGGGGTCAGTCACCCATCCCCTGCCCTGGGAGTTCTGTACCCACCCCACACATCTCTCACCAGAGTCTAACCAGCTGTGCATGGCTTGGGGACACTTGACACAGTGTCCGTCTGAGCAGTGTGGGCTGGGAGGCCAGGGGCCTTCGAGGCAGCTGTGCGATGGGACGACCGTCCTGCCTATACAGCTGGCCAGCTCTGCGGTTTAGAACTGTTTGAATTGGTTGCTCATATTTAAATCAGGTGATTTCTCTAACGAACTCAGATTTCCAGTTTCTTTTGAAAAGTCAGATATGCAAACATAGCCCGAACCCTCCGAGAACATTGTTCTCTGGCAGCCACCACCACAGAACAGCAGGGTGGGCAGCAAACATACACATCCCAGCAGGCAGCCGGACCCTGCGGCCGGGGTGCTCGTGCTGCAGAACACGCCTCTGACAACACGGAACAGAAATACAGTCTACTCCGTGGGTCAGAAACACACTATAACAGAGCTCTGAGTACAGCTGCCCCTCCACCCAGCCTGCCCTGTTCACTTCGACACAGGCCCCAGCACTCCCTACTGTCCCCCGACTCTAAGCCAGCTCTGTCTGGTCTTGGGGCTGACTGTTTTCTTAGAGGACAGCTGAGAGGCCCTGGAAGTAGGTTTTATTCCCTCGTATCTGTCCAAAGGGAAGGGGGAACGTGGCTGACCCTCAGGGGTGCGGGTTCAAGTCACCCTGTCCTCAAAGGCAGTCAGGCTCTTCTGCTGACCAGGACTAGGCACTGACCGGTTTGGTTTATGCCCACACGCACTCACCACCACCAAGTACAGGTGCACGTTCACACCAGTCCCTGGCATTTGCAATAAACAGTTGTGGTGACCACCCAGGCGGGGAGAGTGAAGGAGGAGAGGGCAAGACTGCCTGTGCTCTGGAGGGTTTCTCCTGTCAGAGTGGGTTTCTGACCCGTGTCATAGAGTGTGTTTCTGACCCGTGTCATAGAGTGTGTTTCTGATCCGTGTTATAGTGTGTTTCTGTTCTGTGTTGTCAGTGTTTCTGAACCATGTTATGGAGTGTATTTCTGTTCTGTGTTGTCAGTGTGTCTGGCCCGTGTTGTCAGAGGCATGTCTGCCATGAGCATCCCAGACTGCAGAGTCCCGCTGCCTGCTGGGTTGTTTATGTTTGCTGCCCACCCTTGCTGTTCTGTGCTGGTGGCTTCCCGTGATGCCTCCTGGCCAACAGGTGACCCCTGTTCCCATGGAGGGGGCAGGGCATGGGGAAGGCCAGCGGGCCTCCAGCCCAGGACAAGGCACACAGGGTTGTTGCTGGGTTGCAACCCCCCCCTCTGCCCCCAAACCCACCCCCTGGGTGCTCAGGTGTGCTTCTCCCTTGCAGCTGGTCATCCTGGCTGTGGAGAACGTCACCCTGGCCCTGATGGAGATCAAAGTCTGTGACAGCCAAGAGCATGTGGTGAACATCTCCGTGGCGGAGGGAGGGGCCACCCTGGCTGTGGACGGCACCAAAGGCCAGAGTGAAGTGAGCCCCGTGGAGCTGCAAGAGAGGCTGGCTGTCCTCGGGAGGCGCCTGCAGGGCCCTTTGCTCACCTTCGTCGGGGGACTGCCAGGTAGGGCTCCCTGAGGGCTGCGGGCTCAGAGGTGGGGACACTGGCTGTTTTGACCACCCCCGACTTGCGTGCCCCCAACAGCCTAGGAGTTTCTGCACGAAGATGCACTTTTGCTTTAGAGCAAGAGAGAATACAGGTAGGTTTATCGGCTGGCATTGTGAGCAGGCATGTTCACCAACACCAGCCTAGCAGCTTATTGGCTGAGGTTGAGAACATGCCCCTAGGAACATACATCAGGCGGTGACTCCAGCCAATGCCTGTGGGAAGGCCCAGCTGACCTGAAGCAGGCTGGAGCCAAGTGCCAGTGCCCCAGGCCGGTTTCCCCCTGAGTCCTGGTGCCCAGCTGCTGCAGCAGTGAGCCAAGGAATCACCAGCCCCTGCTGAGTCGGGCAGGGGGCTCGGAGTGGGGAGGGCAGTGCACAGCTGCCGCCTACAGGCGGGGCTGTACCTGTTTCTGATCAGACAAAGAGTGTCTTTGCCCCTGGCACCTGCCATGAGCCGAATGGTCAGGGCAAAATGATGAGAGCCAGGTGCCGATGACGTAAGCCGGTCTCCGTGTGCTCCCTGGGTCCCCACTGGTCTTCCCTTGCTGGGGACAGCAGATTTCGGTCTTGGCTACCAGACACAAACTCCCATCTAGTTTTCATAAACAGAGCTTTTTTAAACAGAGAGAGGGCCTGGCAGCCCTGCAGCATGAATGATTCATTCGGGCCAAGGAGATGATATTTATTTAACCGGCGTGATTATCTGTGTGCACTTCTTTGTGGGGCAGAGGAGGGTTTTTTGCCAGAGCCTGGCTGGCAGATGATCCGTGCTTGCCTGAGGGACGGTGATGTCCTGGAGAAAAGGAATCGGTGTCCTTGAGGAGGAAGGCCGGGACTGAGCGCTGTGGCTGCGGTGGGGACGCCAGGGTGGGGAGCCCCGCCTCCTAAGACCGCGCTTGTTCTTGCCCAGATGTGCCGGTGACCTCAGCACCGGTCACGGCTTTCTACCACGGCTGCATGACGCTCGAGGTCAACCAGAAGGCGCTGGACCTGGATGAGGCCTCCTACAAGCACAGCGACATCACGTCGCACTCCTGTCCCCCCGTCAAGCCGGCCAGCCCCTAGAGTGACGGCTGCCGCGGGGGCAGCGGCCCTGAAGCCCCCATCACGCTTTCTTCCCAAAGCAAGCCAGAGGGGAAGGCGGCAGTCACCCCAGCCCGCCCCGCGAGCAGCTAGCTCCCTGAAACACTGAATCCTCCTCGCCAGCTGAGCTCCTTTGGAGACCTTCTTTGCCTTGTAATATATGTGTAAATACGTGAGAAGACTAATGTTAATGACCCAGAAGCACACCCCGACCCCCCAGAGCGTCCTGCGTGAAGCTGGGCTCCGAGGAGCCGGCCTGAGGGTGGAGACAGGGGGCCCACACTGGCCCGAGGGGACCCAGGAACATAATTCTCTGTTATTTTTATTACCAGATGCTTCTTTCTGACCTAAAACTATGGGGAAATAAACTATTTACAGAAACCTTTTTAACTCTGTGTTGGCGGTCTCTGCTCCTTGCACCCTCAGTGCTGGACAGCTCGGGGTGAGACGACTGAAGGAATCAAGGGTCTGAGGCCGAGGGAGGCCTCGTGTACGGACCTCTCCTCTGCCCACTCACCGGCATCGCCCTGGTGCCCACCTGAGCTCCAGTCCTGGGTGGAGCTGGGCTCTGTAAGAGAGATGAGCCCACCTCGCTGGGGAAGGGGCTAGCTGGCCCCGGGCGCCCTCCCGAGCAGGGCAGTGGGGTAAATGGAAGCCTAGGGCTGGCCCCTCCGTCCCATATCTTCTCTGAGGCTGGGAACAGCTGGAACGGAACCAAGAGGTGGGCCCTGCATCCGGCTCCCCCTGGGCCTCGCTCCTGGTGCCCCTGGCCCATCAGGGGGTGGAGCAGACAGACCTCACCCTGACCCCGGGAGAGCGAGGGGCCATGACAACACCAGCTGTGGGGAAGTGCACGTGGGCACCGGGAGCCCCCACACGCATAGTGGAGGTCACTGCGGCCTGCAGTCCTGAGGGGAGACCAGGACCCAGCCTGGGAGAGTCCAGTGGGACATGTCCGTGCTGTACCTGATCCCGACAGCCGGGGGCGCCATCACAGTGATGTTCAAGCAGAGGGCCCCAGAGGAGCTTTCGACATCTGGTGGGGGCTGCCCTGGAAGACTGGGTTTCTTTTACTTTTAGTACCAAACTCCAGTGTGTGGTTGGAGGAGGCGGTCGGGCAGGTTCGGGTTGTGCTTCCTTTCAGACCTTGTTCCTCAGATGGCAGCCAAGTGTCCATGGCTCCATCATTCCACCAGGATGGAATTGGCTCCCAAAAGCCGCATTAGCCCAGCACAGAGTCAGGCGGCTCAGGTGTCGGTGTCTTTGCGTCCTCCTGGCCGCTGAGAGTGAGTTTATAAGTCACAACTTGACTCAGAGATAAGCAGGGTTCGGGACGGTGGACGGAGCCTGAAGAATCCACTTACAGCTAAATAATGAACGTGAAATGCACCGTGGGCGTGGTCCAATGAGGAGGGGCATCGCCCCTCTGGCTTTCTGAGGAAGAGGAGGGTGACCTCGAGGACGGCGTGCGAGGCCCCACCTGGCTGGGTGGGCCAGGTGGGTGACCCCGAGTGCACCTCGTGGGGGGAAGCAATAGTCCCTTTCACCAGCGGCCTGGCTCCTCCTTGAAGGGGCAGAGGTCCCCGTGTCACTGGAAGGAGTTGGCAAGCACAGACACCCATCCCGAAGGACCTCCTGGGCCAAGGTCACCTCAGAGGACCAGACTGAGGCATGAAGGCACAGGGTGACTTGGCAAGGACACAGGAAGGCAGAGGTGTGTAGGCCCCCAGATCCCGACAGGGCTGACCCTCCACTGAGGGTCACCATGGGTCCTTCGCACACTCACTGTGTCCTTGGGGCTCCTGCTGGCTCAAACCCACATTTCTGCTTTCTGACCCGTCCTACAAACCCCTGTGGATGTCCAGCATCATGTCCTCCTGCCCCGCCATCAGGGGCACAGCTCGCTCAGGCTGCACTGGCCGAGTCCTTTAAGCAGCATCTGGTTGGAAGTTTTGTTGACTCGGGTCTTCAGAAAACAAGTCTAGGAGGTTCTTCGGGTAATTTTCCACATTGGTGCATGAGAAATAAAAGACGCAGAGAGCGCAGCAGGCAGGCTGTCCCTGAGCCACTTCAACCCACCGTGTCCTCGTGAAATACCCATCATCAGCCAAGGTCCTTGTGGAAGGAGCGTCCTCACCAGCCTCTTCTCCCAGCTCGGGGGTCTCCCCACTCTCCGTCTGTGACCCAGGTGGATGTGTGTGCTGGCTCACACTATACGTGGGCCCCAAGCCCAGGCACCGGGTGCTGGCTCTGGGACGGGCAGGGCTTGGAGCTGAAGGACTTAGCCTCGGGCTGTCCATCGGGGCATGAGAGCCCAGTTCCTGAGGACTCTGGCATTGAACAGGAGGACTCAGGCAGGGACGCCCTCTGCTCAAGAAGCAGGAGGTCTGACCCCAACCCAGAAGCACGGCTCTGAGAAGCGTGAGATGCATAGCTCCAGCTCATAAAGCTGCGGGAGCCCCAAGCCACTTCGGGGGCCTCATCCGTTTCTCAGCCTCTGTCACTGCAGCATTCCCCGCAGTGTTCTCTGATTTTTGTCCCTGTGGAGGCGACGCTGGAATGTTCTTGTGGAATGCTCTCCTGGCCGGCGAGGAGTCTCCTCCAGCCAGCCCCAGTTCTCTCGAGAAGGTCAGAAGGGCCAAGACCAGGAAGGACACATGCTGAGCTCTGGACTAGACACTCTGGAACCCCCACAGACACTCAACAGAGACCAGCACTTAGAGGCTTTCTGGCTACTTCGGGTTCATCCTCTGTCCAGGACAAGATAGGCACACCTATGTCTCCTGGTGTGGCTTCCTTAGCCTTCCACTGACTGCCAGAGGTTATTCTAACTATTGCCAAGAAAAGTTATAGCAAGTACAGAACCAAATGCTGCAATACATTCCCCAGCTGTGCCAGCCAGGTTGGCGTCCTTGCCACGCTCCAGCCCAGACAGGGCCAGACTGCAGAGGAGGCTGTGACAGAGAGCCCCATATCCTCCAATGGTAGGCTATGACAGGAGCTGGGAGGGTTCTGGGTGTGAGTTATGGACATGGAGCTGGGAGGATTCTTTCTTTTTTTTTTTAATATATTTTATTGATTTCTTACAGAGAGGAAGAGAGAGGTTTAGAGAGTTAGAAACATTGATGAGAGAGAAACATCGATCAGCTGCCCCCCGCACACCCTCTACGGGGGATGTGCCCTCAACCAAGGTACATGCCCTTGACCAGAATCGAACCTGGGATCTTTCAGTCTGCAGACTGACGCTCTATCTACTGAGCAAAATCGGTTTCAGCAGAGCTGGGTGGATTCTGAATGTGCATTGTGGAGATTGAGAGGGTTCTGGGTGTGAGCTGTGGAGATGAAGCTGGGAGGATTCTGATTGTGAGCTGTGGAGATGGAACTGGGAGGGTTCTGAGTGTGAGCTGTGTAGATGAATGCTTTAATGAGAAGGGAAAAGATTATAAAATTGGGCTAGGGTAAAATCAAGAATTTCACCCTGGCCAGTGTGCTCACTGTTTAGAGCACCGCCCCACACACTGAAGGGTTGTAGATTCAATTTCTGGTCAAGGGCATGTACCTGGGTTGCAGGTTTGATTCCTGGTCCCAGTCAGGGCATGTGTGGGAGGCAACCCATCAGTGTCTCACTCATATTGATGTTTCTCTCCCTCCCTTCCTCCCTCCATCCCTTCCTTCTTTCTTCCCATCTTCCCTCCCTTACACTCTATCTAAAAACAATGGGAAAATATCCTCAGGTGAGGATTAACGACAACAACAAATAATAATAATAATAATAATTTCAAGAACAAAGTTGGAAGACTGATGCTACCTGACTTCAAGACTTACTATAAAGCAACAGTAATCAGTACATCCCAGTATTACCAACTGAGCCCCGGCCAGTGTGGCTCAATTGGTGGGAATGTCATCCCATGCACCAAAGGGTGGCAGGTTCGATTCCCAATCAGGGCACATAACCAAGTTGTGAGTTTGCCCCTGGTTGATGGGCATGCAGGAGGCAGACATTCAGTGTTTCACACTCTCTCTAGAACCAATTTTTAAAATCATTAAAAAGTGTCCCAGAGAATAATTTTTTTTAAAAAGAACAGACAGGATAGAAACTCCAGAAATAGACCCACAGAAATATAGCCAAATAATTTCTGACAAAGGTGCAAAGACAATACAATGGAGCAAAGACAGTCTTTACAATAAATGGTGCTGGAACAACTGGACAGCCATCCACAGGCAAAAAAAAAAAATGAATCCAGACACAGGCCTTATACCTCTCATAGAAATCACCTCAAAATGGACCACAGACCTAAATGTATAAATAAACACACACAAAAAATAAAACTCCTAGAAGATGATATAGAAGAAAATCTAGATGACCTTGGATGTGGCGATATCTTTTTAAATACATCCGAGGCATGACCCATGAAAGAAAGAATTGACGAGCTGGACTTCATTAAAGTTAAAACTTCTGCTCTGCAAAAAGCACTATTATGAAAACAAAAGGACAAGCCGCAGACTAGGAGAAAATATTTGCAAAGGACATATATGATAAAGGATTGTTATCCCACATACACAGGGAACTCTTAAAACTCAACCATAAGAAAACAAACAACACTGTTAAAAAGAACGGGCCAAAGAACTTAACAGATACCTCACCAAACAAAATATGCAGATGAGAAATAAGCACATGAAGAAAAATGCTCCACCTCCTATGTCATCAGGGAAATGCAAATTAAAACAACAAGCGACCACTAAACACCTACCAGAATAACCAAAATCCAGAATCCTGGCAACACCAAATGCAGAGCATCAGGCACTCCCATTCATTGCTGGAGGGAATGTAAAATGCTACAGCCACTTTAGGAGACAGCTGGTGGTTTCTTACCAAACGTAACATACTCTCACCTTATGATCCAGCAGTCACACTCCTTAATATTTACCCAAAGGAGTTGAAAGTTCTGTCCAGAGAAAAACCTGCACGTGGATGCTTATAACAGCTTTATTATTTTGCCCAAACTTGAAAGCAGCCGAGATGCCCTTCGGTAGGTGAGTGGATAAACTGTGGTGCATCTGGACAATGGAATATTATTACTGCTAAAAAGAAATGAGCTATCAAGCTCTGTGATGACATGGAGCAACCTTAAATGCATGTCATTAAGTGAAAGGATCTTATGTAATCTGAAAGGCTACGTACTCTGTGATTCCAACTATATGACATTCTGGAAAAGGCAAAACTACAGAGAAGGCAAGAAGATCAGTGGTTGCCAGGGGTCAGGGGAGAGGGAGGGATGAATTGGTGAAACACAAAGGATTGTTAGGTGCATGACCCTGTAACATTCCCGTCACACCACAAGGCGGATGCGTGTCATTATATATTTGCCCAAACCCACAGAATGCACACGCCAAAAGTGAACCTTAGCGTACACTGCAGGCTTTGGGTGATAATGCTGTGTCAATGTAGATTCATTGATTTAAAAGTTTTTAGAAAAGGAAAATATATATGCATAGATAGCTATTGCCCCTCAAGAAGTTGCTGATTGAGTGAGGGCCATGCCTCCTGGACTTTCTTCTGCTTCTGTGGTCAAAACAGCTCAGCCAAACACTTCCCCCAAAATTCAGAGGCCATCTCTGCTCCTGCCACCTGGTGTTTTCATCCCCATGCCCAGAGGTGAGGGAATCAAGCTGCAGAAGTTTGGGATCAGGAGGGAGTGGGGAGGCAGAACAGTGCTGGGTGACGACAGGCTGCTGAGACCCACTCAGAGGTGGTACTTTACGGTGATGATGATGGCAAGTGGCCTGTTAACACAGCATGTGCTGGTCCCTGGCTGCTCTAAGTGCTTCACCTGCATTCCTGTCCCACTCTTTTTCATGGAGATACAATTCACATACCATGATATCCACCCTTTAAGAGCATACAATTAGGTGAGTTCTAGTTCAGCCACTAACAGTTGTACCCCCATCACCACTACTTAGTTCCAGAATGTTTCCATCACCCCACAAGGGAGCCCTGTGCCCATTAGCAGCCTCCTTGACACCCCCACTCCACCAGCCTCCAGCACCCACGGCCATCTGTGATCAGGAATGAGGAGGGATAAATTCAACAGAAGACCCGCCCCATGGAGGTGCCCCTCAGAGCTTCGGTCCAGCTCCGTGGAGCATCAAGACTAAGGCAGAGCTAAGTCAGGATCTGCTGCAGGGAGGCAACAGCTTTGGCAGAGATGGTCCCCCACACGCACTGGGGGTTGGCACCAGAGCACAGGGCCAGGCCGGATGTGGCCGGACGCCGTGTACCAGGAGTGGAGAAGCTGTCCCTGCAGACTGGGCGACCAGGTCTGGGTGTCTGCAGGGCGTGGGGGAGGTGTTCTGGGGACCAGGGGGGGCGGGGCTTGGTTGTGTGGGAGCCACCCCCAGACTGGAAGTTGAATTGTTCACATTTTTTTGTGGCTGGATCAAGGGAGAAAGACATTTTTGTGGGCAAGAGCAACATTGCTGGCCTTGGAGCTTAATACCGTTTATCAATCTTGGCTCTAGGTTAGATGAAAAGGCTGCAGGACAGACAGAGCCAATTTGGGCGACGCCGGTGTGAGCAGTCCGGGGACAGTGACGCCGCTGAGTGTCTCTGGCCAGGGGCATGTGTGGAGAACGGGGTTGTCCCCGTGATCTCTGGCTCCCGGTCATCTCCCGGGGTTGGTGGCCCGGTCCAGTCGGCACAGGCTCGCTGCCAGATCTGCAACTCAGCTTCTCTGCTGTCAGCAGCGGGGCAGCATGGGCCTGAAGCTGCCCCAAGGCCCAGCGGGTGCTCGGTGCCCGCTCAGGATCCCTGCGGCCTCAGGATTCCTTTCTCCCTGTCCAGGGGCTCATGCAATAGGAAACCCACCTTGTGAGTTCAGCATTTAGATCGCAAAGGCCTCCAGACTCAGGTGAGCAGTTTGGTTCTTGGACTCAGGGCAGAGGAGTGTTGCTCTTTGAGGCACTTGCTGTGTGAGCCCAGACGTGCCAGCCCCAGGGCAGCCTGGTGGCTCTGCCAAGATCCCATTACTGCCAACAACCAGTCGGGTGTATCGGACAAAGGCGAGGGTCAGCCCTTTGTGCCTCATGGCCCCGCTCTGGTTTCTGCTCCCCAGACCCTTGGCCAGATGCTGGCTCCTGAGCTCTCACACTGCGTTAGTCTGTCTTCATGGTCTGCACTTCCACTCTCCATGGTCTCACTTATTAATAAACGGATTTTCCTCTTAATGACACAGTGCCTTCTTTCCTATGTGGGCCCCACCTGTCTTTGCAAACGGGAAGTACGGGTCCCCAAACCTGTCCTGCAGAGAACAGTGCTATGCTGGGTCACCATCAGATCAGGGTCTCCTGGACAAACACTAGAGCAAGTGAGTCTAAATTTAACAAAATGGCACTCTTACTAAAGACGGCTCACCAGACCAGCAGCCGGCCTTTCGCTTCCTGGTCTGTAATCAATAGCCTTTCCCAGATCAATTAGCCAGGCTTCTGGGGCCTGACTCCCCGAGTTTCCAATATTCCATGTGCCTCACTTCCTTGTGTGATGAGTGTGTTCACCTTCTTAACAGGAAGCGTCCTGTATGCTCAGGAAATTAAATGAAATACTGCTGTGCAAGGCTGAGAATATCTTGCCTGTTAGCCAGATTTCCCTTCACAGCCAGCAACAGGGAGCATGAGACCTTGTCTTTTTAAAACGCTCACCCCTTTCTCTCCCTCTCTTTTCTCTCCCCTTCCCTTAGCTCTTTCCCCCAGTGACCCAGGACTGGCATATAGGGGCTCTGGCCTGTCACTCAGCAAGGATTGGGTCATGTCCAAGGACTGTGCTCACCTGCTGCCTCAGGTGTGTTTGGCAGCAGGTAAATACACACTGGGCCTTGAGCCACTAGCTGTTGGTCTGTGATAGGCCGGGCTGCATGCATCCCAGGCTCTGGCTGTGGGGCCTCAGAAGCCACCCACTCTACTGGGGTAACCACACCGGGTGCCCACGGAGCAGACCAGACTGTAGAGGGCCGCCTGAGAAGGCACATGGACATTCTTTAAATTGTCAGCTGAGCCCGAGACACTGGCAGAGTACCTTTGTCTAGGTGTCAGCAGGGGCGGGTCTAGATATGTAAATCCAGTAATGCTAGGGCCTAGTTAAGAATGTAAATAAGCTCTTATGACCCTATAAATAAACCTATTGCATGGCTCATCACTCGCTGTCTCTCCATCAGAGAGGATGGCGCCCACCTAGTGCCCAGCTTGATGAATCTATTTCTGCCTATTGGTCTCTTTCTTTCTTTAATTTATTAATCTCCGCCTCCTCCATGATGGACACGGAAAACAGAGAAACAACCCCCCCACCCCCACACCATGAAGGATGGCAATTGGAAGCCCAGAAGTTAAATAGGAAGCACGCAGCCTCAGGGAGCAAAACCCTCCAGGTGTGATGGCAAAACTGTAAAAGACAGAGGCACACACACAGACCAGAGGCACCGCAGGCCTTGGAAATAACGCTTTATATTTGAGCCAGAGCGTCTTTTCATTTGAGCAAATAAATGCCAGGAGAACACAGCCCTGGGGCGGGACCCTGCCCCTTCTGGGGGACCCACGTAAATATAGAAACATTCAACATGTTTCCTTCGAAATGGTCTTCACACATGGATGCCCCGGTCGTGTTCCCTTCGCAAAATAATAATAGTAATAACTAGGTAGGTAGGAGGAGATGAGAATATGTAGGGACACGGGACCGGATTTTTTGTAAGTGGTGACAGACACCAGAGCAAGGAGGCCCGGGTAGAACTTTCAGTGCTGTTTGGCGTCTGGTTTACACGCTGGGCTGGGTAAAGCGACCAAGCAGAGGTGCCACCGGGACCTGGGTTACCTGGGGCTCTGTCCCCAACCCTGGTCCTGGCCTCTCATTGCCTCGCAAGTGTCCGGGGAGGGAAGGAGGACACAGACTTCAGAAACGTCCTCCTGGTGTCTCCAGGAGGTTGGCCACAGAAGCAGGCGTTGTGGAGGCTGCTTTTTGCAAACGCTAATCAAAAGGGAGTTCTTTTTCAATCTACGCCCTCTGTCATGGGGCGTAGGGGGGAGGCTTCTCGCCGGGGAGGAAAGGGGCTGGAGCATAGAGAGGCGGGGCGTTGGGCGGGAGCCCGAAGCTGGAGCTGGACTGGGACGGAGGCTGCGTGTCCTCAGACAGAGAGAGGTCAGTGGAGGACGAGGCTGGGAAGCTGCTGGACGGCTGCAATGGAACAGAAAAGGCTTCCTCAGTCTGCGGAGAGGGCCCAGCCACACGCAGGGCACCCCTCACAGAGCCCACCTGGGGCTTGGGCCCCCCCAGATCCAGGGTCGCCCGTCTGACCAAGGCCCTGCGGGTGGGAACACGCCCTGACCAGAGTGTGTTCTCAGGGAGGCCAGGGGGAGGGCCTGGCCCTGCCCAGCGGGGGCCTCCTTCCCACAAAGGTCGCTCCTGCAGCCGCCCGTGGAGACACCCAGCTGGGGAATTCCCCAGACTTCCCAGCCCTCACACCTGCTCTGCACGAGAGTCTTGTCTTTCAAGGGGGTGGCCTTTTACTCAACTGACACCATGATGCACACCAGTGCAAACATGTCCAAGGAGAAGGCTGCCTGGCTCCTTTGGGGACCCCTGGGTTCACCCCACATGTCACACGTTAAGGAAAAAAACAAGAGCTCAGCATTTTTCACCTAGTGTGACCATTAATTTTATGTGTCAACGTGGCCGGGCCTCGGTGCCCAGATGTGTGGTCAAACCTCTGCCCAGATGTGGCTGTGACGGTATTTTGACATTGCAATCAGTAGACTGAGTAAAGCAGGTCACTCGCCATGATGTCGCTAAGCCTCCTCCAATCAGTGGCAGGCCTTAAGAGAACAAGACTGAGGTTTCCAGGGAAGAGGGAATTCTCCCAGGAGACTGACCTTGGGCTTGAAACTGCAAGATCCATTCTTTTCTGGGTCTCCTACCTGCAGTCCTGCCCTGCTCAGGACCTTGCTCTGTCCCACCCAGGACACCTTGCTCTATACCTACCTCTCTATTTCTCTGTCTACATGTCTAATCTACATCTATGTCTACTTATCTGTGCATCCATCCATCCTATTGGTTCTGTTTCTCTAGAGAACCCTGATGCAGACTCAAGTAAAAGTGATTGAGAAGAAAAATGTTTTTCCAGTTTTTCTCCACCTGCCAACAAATCTCCTACATGTTTTTTTTTTTTTCAAGTTCTAAGAGTTGGAAATGCCTACTTCAAACCATATTTAAATAAACAAAGCACACAGGCCCTTCTGTGAAATGTCTCAGGGTGAGGGTGTAGGGCCTTGTCTCCTGGCAGTGCTGTGTAATTCCTTTGCTCTCAGCCCGCCAAGTGCCTCGGGGCCCCCGAGAGGCAGACCTGTCTGCCTTGTCCTTCCCTGGAGATTTCCCCACAAAGGAGTCCAGGAGCCCCAGAACCTCGGGGGTTCTGAAAGGAGGGTTTCCCCACAAGCTGTCCCTGAAGCCAAGAATGCCCCCTTGCTCAGGGTCAACAGCCTGAGTTTCCAGGATCTGACAGCCCAGGGCCCCTGCCCACTCTCAAACTCACACTCTGACCACAGGGACAAAGAAAACCTCTAGAGAATATTCTCTGGGGTCTGCTGGGAGCTCCCAGACCCCACCATGTGTGTGTCCAGCTCTTCATTGGAAATGAGCACCTGGGAAAGCCACAGCATAAACCACCCCAGACCATAGAGTAAGTCACTGGGAACCAGGCAGTAAACCAGAAGGAACCATGAAGTAAACCACCACCAATCGCAGAGTAACTTGCCAGGAACCATGGAGCTAACACCTGAACCACAGAGTAAAACACCATGAACCACAGACTTAACCACATGAGCCATGGAGTGAACCACCACAAACCACAGGGTAAACCACCACAAACCACAGAGTAAACCACCACAAACCATGGAGTAAAGCACCACAAACCACAGAGTAAAACACCCAAACCTCAGAGTAAAAAACCACAAACCATAGAGTAAAACTCCATGAACCACAGACTTAACCACCATGAGCCATGGAGTAAACCATCACAAACCACAGAGTAAAACACCACAAACCACAGCATAAACCACCATGAACCACAGGGTAAACGACCACAAACCACAGAGTAAAGCACCTAAACCACAGGGTAAAACACCACAAACCACAGCATCAACCACCATGAACCACAGGGTTAGGCACCATGAACCACAGAATAAACCACCATGAACTGTGGTGTAAACCACCAGTAACTATAGAGTAAACTACACCGACAGGCAGGGCTGGATCAGGGGATGAACAAGAAATCCCTTAACCACGGAGGGGAGCGAGATCTCTCCTTGTGTCCTTCTTCACAAACTCATCAACACCAACCCCTTCCCTGACTTTCCTGACTAATCAGCTCCTAGGAGCAAGGACGGTGGGTTCTCTTCACAAGATTGTCTTTGGGCCAGCTGCCCCAAACAGCCCGGCAGCCAGCTGTCCCACCCCCGCCGTGCGGGAGCGTCCACAGGACACCAGCGTTCCCTCCCCCATGGCTGTGGGCAGGAACAGGAGCATCCGTCCTGTTGTTTTTCTGCTACGGAAACACAGGAACCTCATTGATTTGTCCTCTCCTCAAAACCCAATTATAGACATATATGTAATTATTCTCCTGCATGTGCTGGCGATAATGGCTGATTAGGCCATCGGGACGAGAGTCCAGGCCTCCCCCGGGGGGTGAAGCGGGGGCATCTGCTGTTTGTGAAGAGCCAGAGCCCCCGAAGGATGGAATATGACACTGGAATAGAGCGGATCCACTCGCCAGCACCGGGTTTTAGGGATGGAAGACCATCCGCCACATCCCACATTCCTGCGAGGAGCCGTCTCCTGGGGGAGCATGGCGGGCCTGCGAGAGCAGGACACCGCCCGGCACCCCGAAATCAGGCTCCAGGCTTGCCGAGAGCCCTGGCTGCAGCCCACCCCCAAGGACCACTCATGCATCCGCCAACTGACACACAAAGATGTTTGACTTCAATAGCAAGGGATTGGGTCTGAGCCCCCCCGCAGCACCCCGTCCGCCCAAGCACAGAAACACAACTCGCACTTGCTTCCGACGTGTTAGTTTAGGCAAGAGAATGCTAAGCCCATCTGCTTGTCCCACCCCAAAATGGAAACCTAGGTGAGCTGTGTGGATCAGTGGTTCTCATCTTTGACCCCCTGAGGACACTGGGCAACTTTAGGATACACTTTGGGTTGTCACAATGGGGTGTACTATAAGGTGACCAGATGTCCCACTTTTGGGGGGACAGTCCCGATTTTTAACAAATTGTCCCATGTCCCGCGTCCCGCGGCGTTTTAAAAAAGGGACACGGCAAGTCACTTCACTTTGGACAGCTAATTTTGAATTAAAATATGATCAAAGGCAATGAGAAACAAAAATAAATAAATAAATAAATAAATAAATAAATAAATAAATAATTAAAATAAAAATAAAAAAGGGACACGGGACAAATTGTTAAAAATAGGGACTGTCCCGCCAAAAGCGGGACGTCTGGTCACCTTAGACTGGCAGCTGGTGGGTGGAGGCCAGGGATGCTGCTCAACATCCTTTAGTGCACAGGGCAGCGTCACCCCTCGGAAATATCTGGCTCCAGTGTCAGTAGTGCCACAGTTGAGGTCTGGAGTACATGAAGGTGACAGATGATTAGGGTCTTTTTCAACCAGAAGCTTCCCAGCATATAAAGAAGGAAAAAGCCGAAACCACAAATGGAAACAGAAGGACAAAGCAAACGCCACTCTACAAACAAGGTCTCGCCCCCACCAGGTGCCCCACAACCACTTCACGGCCAGCAGCAGCATTGTAGGGTGGATCTACGACATCGTCGTTGCTGTGGGCAGTGTGGTTGGACACTGGCAAATTCACATGGCTCCGCCTAACTGTGCTATGTTGACGGGACACGGGCACATGGTGGTATGTTCCCACTCTCTCTGGCCAGGAAATTGCAGTGAACTTTTGTCAACTGAGAAAGGTTAGCCTTGGCCGGTGGAGGTGAGTGGCTCAGTTGAGTGTTGTCCCATTACACCAAAAAGTCACCAGTTCCACTCCTGGTCAGGGCACATGCCCAGCAAGAGGCAGCTGATCTACGTGTCTCTCTCTCTCTCTCTCTCTCTCTCTCTCTCTCTCTCTCTCTCTCTCTCTCCCTGTCTCTCCCTTCCTCTCTGTCTAAAATCAATAAAAACATATTTCTTATAAAAGAAAGAAAAGGTTATAGTCTAGAAGGACACCAACAATTGGCCGCCATGATCATGACCATGTGGGGAGCAAAAGATGTCCAAACTGCCAAGTTTGACTGGAACGTCCCCGTGAGAGGCCGAGTGTTACCAGCCAGATCACCCCACGGATGATCCCAGCCCCTTTCCCAGTCCATGCCTGCTCCGCCCCCACATCACCCGCATGAGGAGAGGGGAAGCCCTGGTCTTCCTTCCACCCCAGACCCTCTCCAGCGCTGTCCTGACCAGCGCTGTCCTGCAGGACTGCCGCCTGCAATGTGAGCGCCCCGGCTTCTGGCAGGTGATGCTCAGCCTACCTGGAGAGGCAGAGGGTAGGACGAGCAGGTGGGGAGGGTTGCCGGTGCTGGGCAGAAGCCGGAGTAGGCCAGGATCTGCTGGGCGGGGTTGTAGAGGATCTGAGGTGGAGCGGAGGGTCTGTAGGCCAGCTGGGACAGAGGGACCTGCCACAGAGAATGGAGGTGCATCAGCCAGCCCCCCAAAGCCTGGCACCTTCAGCCCCCAAGCAGTTCCTCCAGGGAGCCCCATCCTCAAGCCATCCAGGAAGGTGAGGTCCTATCAGATCTGCCAGGGGGAGAGGCCATCAATATCTCTTGGACCGGAACTCAACACCTGAAAAGCAGGACTTATTTTTGCTTTTTATTTTTTTAATTTGTCTCAGGTACCCCCCAAGATTCCAGATTAGGCCCAGGCCCTCTTTGGTGCTGTTTTTGATAAAGCACGAAAACCCCTGGTCCCTCCCCTGCAGGTGATGCAGTGTGACACCCATCTCCCATGCAGCTCCGGTCACAGCGGGTGGACTGGCTTCCATGCTCGGCCACGGTCCTACAAGGCTTGCTTCCCTCATGTGCCAGCCCCGGGGACACAGCTCAGGGGTTTCTGGACTGGCACAGCAGGACCTGGGCCCCACAGAGGGCAGGGGGCGAGGGGAGCCTCCTGGCCAGAGGAAACAGCTGCAGCCAGAGGCCTGGGGGCTTGGTCTGAGCAGGGGTGATGGAGGTTGAAGGTCAAGTTCATAGGTGATCTCATGGGCCAAAAAAGAACCTGCCTGGCCTTGTTCTGCATTTTTGCCACTTGGGGTTTTAGGAAGGACAGGCCAGGGCTGGGCGTCCTCCCCTGAGGGAGCTAAACGTTTTGGCATGGGCAGCTTCCCTCTGTCTGCAGGAGGCGCTGGGAGGCCCCGCCCAGATGTGGCCCTGGCTGCCTGCATCTGCCTGGGCTTGCCCTGACCCCCTGTCTACCTTTCTGTGTGGGTGACAGGAGCCCCAAACTGGACCAGCAGGACTGTCCACCTCCTTTCTCAGTACACCCGAGGCTCAGTGCAGGCAGGCTTCATTTATTTTTATTTTATTATTATTATTATTATTATTATTATTATTATTATTTACATTTGGCCTTCATGACTATTTTATTTTTTAATTTTTTTTTAATTTTTAATGTTATTTTATAATAAATCTTTATTGTTCAGATTATTACAGGTGTTCCTCTTTTTCTCCCCCCATAGCTCCCCTCCACCTGATTCCCCACCCCGCCCCATGCCCTTACCCCCGCCACTGTCTTCATCCATAGGTGTAAGATTTTTGTCCAATCTCTTCCCGCACCCCTCACACCCCCTTCCCCCTGAGAATTGTCAGTCCACAGTCCACAAATCTTCCAGGCAGGGTTTAAACGACTGTGTCTGTAAGCATAGTCACGGTACCCGGGCACCGGCCGCAGGAGCCCCACTGCAGACCCCAGACTCCCCTGCGCCCCCTGCTGGGCAAAGGGACTTCCTCTGCTCCCAGTGTGAGGAGCATGCGTGACCTGTATGGGAAGCCCTCCTACGCTGAGAGGGCACACACACAGCTTTGGGCTGGTTCCTGAAGGGCCTGCGTTCCTTAAAATAATTTTAAATTATACGACACATTAAACTTATAAAGGGTATGTACTCAGTAGGTGTAACATGTTAAAGGAACCACGCTTTTTGCTTCTCTCAGCACCCCAGAGCTTTGGGTTGGAGATTGTCTAGAGCAGAGTTTAGGCACAATCCCACAGTCAGGTGGAAAATAGTGGCCCTTCTGGGGGCATCGCTACATTTTGACAGAACGCCTATACTGAGGGTCTTCACAGAGGGCGCCCAGAGGGACCCTCTGCAGCCCCCAGGCCCCCTGGGAGAGCTGGGACACCCACTGGAGACTTTGCTGAAGGCATGGTGCCCAGCAACTTTCATTCTTGGAGGGTGCTTGTCTTTTTCATGAACGTAAAGAATCTTATGGCCACAGCCAGTGCTTGGTGAGGCGGTCTGCCCCCTCCAGAGTGGCAGCCAGGAGAAAGGTTTGGACCCTAGGGCAGTGGTCTGCAAACTGCGGCTCTCTGGCCCCTTGAATGTGGCTCTTCCACAAATACCATGGCCTGAGCGAGTCTATTTTGAAGACGTGGCGTCAGAAGAATTTTAAGTTTAAAAAATGTGGCTCTCCAAAGAGATGTCAATCCTTGTACTGTTGATATTTGGCTCTGTTGACTAATGAGTTTGCCAACCACTGCCCTAGGGGATACCCGGATGCCCCATGTTATCTCAGGTTTTATCTAGAGAAACAGAACCTTTTAGAAAAATCACAGATCTCGGGAGGGCTCCAGGCTCAGCTACTAAAAATGGTCACTGACCAAAGTCTCCAGAACAGCTGGGCAGCAAGAGACCCAGAAAGAGCTCTGGCTACTATGGGGGCAGGTGACTGGCCTACAAATGTGTTCACACTGGCCTTAGAGCTAAAACTGGGTGACGGGAGGGTAGCTGCTCTCTCTGAGCTGTTGTGTGCATGCCATGGGGTTCGCAACTGGGCACTCGGGGGACTGCCCTGCGCCTGCGGCACCTCTAGAATGAAGGGAGAGTTGTTGCAGGAGGTGATAGGTGTGAGAACTTCTAGTTTGGAACAAAGAGGTGCCACAGGAAGAGGACTGGAGAAGGGAAATCCTGCTGGGCCCAGCCCCAAGCAGGGCTCTTTGCCTGTGAAAAGGGAACATGCTGAGGTGAGGACTCTGAGCAGCCTTCACAGTGAGGCCTGCAGTCACTGCCCTTCCTGGAGCTCTGGCACACGCTGAGCACCTGCTCTCCGAGGTCCTGCGTCAGAATTACCTATGCGTTTGGGAGAGGGCAAACCCCAGAACCACTCCAGAACCATCTATACTGAGGGTCTTCCCACCCACCCAGATCTACCAAATTGGATCTACCAATGATTCCACATGCAGTCGGGGTGAGAGTGGGTGGAGACAGACACCTCTAAGCATCAAGTTCAGGCTCTTCCTCAGAGGGTGGAGGCGAGTGCGGGAACAGACTCTGCTTCCAGAAACAACCGCAAAGGCTGGCTGCCATTAAAATGTATGGCGGGCTGAAACCGGTTTGGCTCAATGGATAGAGCATCAGCTTGGGGAGTGAAGGGTCCCGGGTTTGATTCCGGTCAAGGGCATGTACCTTGGTTGCGGGCATATCCCCAGTAGGGGGTGTGCAAGAGGCAGCTGATCGATGACTCTCTCTCATTGATGTTTCTAGCTCTCTATCTCTCTCCCTTCCTCTCTGTACAAAATCAATTATATCTATATCTATATCTATATCTATATCTATATCTATATCTATATCTATATCTATATCTATATCTATATCTATATCTATAATTTTTTAAATGTATGGCGGGCCGTGTCCATGAGCCTCAGTTCCCCATCTGTGAAGGGGGATCTGGAGGCCTGCCTTGTGTGCCTCCGAGGACGTGGGCCTGAAGCCCTGGTCCGTCCCGAGTGCCGTCGCTGCCCAGCCCGGACGGGCGGCACTACTCACCATGTCCTTGAAGGCCCCCAGCACCGCCGCCGTGACGATGCCCAGGAACAGGCCCAGCACGTTGAGCACCATCGAGGCCCAGAGCAGCCGGTAGAGGTGGAGCACGTCGTGGCAGCCGCTCACGCCCACGAACTCGTAGTAGGTGGGAGAGTACTCGGTGCTGCACGTGGGGAGGAGACGAGAGTGTCACCTGCGCCTGCGAGGAGAGGACCTGCCAGGTGACAGCCGGGCTGGGAGGATGCGGGGCTGGGCCAGGCCAACTGAATCCAGACCGGCCGCGGTCTTTGCTCTCCAAGGCCCCGAGGGCCCCATTGGCCATGCCAGAGAGAGGCGCCTGCCCAATGGCACCCTGAGCAAGGCTGTCCCCACCCAGGGAAGGAGCCCCGGGCTCTGAGCAGAGAGGATGGCACCATCCCCTTGCCCACGCCCCAAACACAGGCCCTGCCCAGGGAGAATGCAGACCCCAGCGTCCCACCAATGGGGCCCCAGCTGAGTCGGCCTTCAGCAAGCAGCCACGCTGGTGGAGGGGTTCGTCCTGGCGCCCACAGGTGGGTTGAGAGGGGCTGTGCAGGGAGAATCTGAACCAGCCTCCTGGCTGTGAGCCTGCATCCTGGCCACAGGAAGCTGCTGGGGCTGTCACCGTGACCCACACATGCTGCTCCTCCTTTTCACCTTGGAAATAGGATGGACCCTTTTCTCGGGGAAGGGGGTGCAGCTTAAACCCTGGGAATTTCCAACAATGCAGGGGGGAGTAACCCAGGAGCAAGCATTAAAGTTCCCTCTGTGTTTCACGTAAGTGTTCAAGCTATTAATACAAATGTAGTAGACCATGGGGGGAGGATTCCGGTTCCGGCTAGGAACTCACACTCGGTGCCAACAAGAAGTAAAAAGCCGAACAGCCTGAAAAATCAACAACTCGATTGAGTCATAAGAGGGGAGGATGCAGGACACACGGCTGCTCCCAGATTGGAGATGCAGACAGGCGGGTACAGGGAACCCCGCTCCCCGGAGAGACACCCAGAGCGGAAACCCCTGGGCCCCAGGGGCCGGGGTAGAAAGCAGACCTGCCGCTCCCCGGAGAGACACCCAGAGCGGAAACCCCTGGGCCCCAGGGGCCGGGGTAGAAAGCAGACCTGCCGTGAGCGTTAAAACCTGCGGGGACCGGGTCATGGGGGCCCCACAATGCTGTGAGATTCACCTTCCGGAGCTCAACCTGGTTCCCACAGGAAACACCCAGAAAAATGCTCTCGGGCTTCCAGCAGGGGGCGGGAAAGGGACAGTTCTGAACCAGCCAGAGCTGCTTTCTCCTCAGCAAGGCCTGGCCTCGGGGGTGCTGGTACCCAGAGTCTAACCTGCTGGAGTGTTATCAAAGGAAATACCCAACTCCGGCCCTGTTTAGCCATTTGTCCCAGCTGGTGGCGGAGAGAGGGGGGTAGCGGGGGGGGGGGGGGGGGGGGGGGGGACTAAGAAAGGCTAGTGAATTCCACAGGCCAGAGGCACAGGCTCACTACGGAGACATAATCATGGGGCTTATAGAACACTTCCCCTCCCCACACCTCACCACATGACTGAGCCTCGGTTTTCTCATCTGCGAAATGGAGCTAACTCCCTTCCCTCACCTAAAGACCAAAGGCGATGATGTAGGAGCAGTGTCCAAGGACAGGGAAGAGCAGAGAAGCGGGGAGGAGGGAGGCATGGGAAAAGGGCCCCCCTCCTCCCATGAGGCACTCTCCCCCGCCCCACTCCCTGCCGGACTCACCTTTGGCAGTTGTAGAGGTCACAGCAATAGCAGGTGTTGCTCTTCACCTTCAGCTGGCACTTGCCATTCAGGGAGTGACAGGTAACCTGCAAGCAGAAAGGCCTGTCCCCTGTGCGCCCGCTCATTCTCTCCCCACAGTGAGCAGGGCTGCACCCTGGTCAGTCAGGCAGTTCTCCCTCCTGAGCCCACATTTCTTTTTCTTTTTAAAAAAAAAAATATATATTTTATTAATTTTTTTTACAGAGAGGAAGGGAGAGGGGTAGAGAGCTAGAAACATCGATGAGAGAGAAACATCAATCAGCTGCCTCCTGCATGCCCCCCACTGGGGATGTGCCCGCAACCAAAGTACATGCCCTTGACCAGAATCAAACCTGGGACCCTTCAGTCCGCAGGCCGACGCTCTATCCGCTGAGCCAAACCGGTTAGGGCATGAGCTCACATTTCTTGGGCTTCCCCTCCATCCCCCTGTCCCAGGAGCTTCGGGGTTGGGACATGACAGGACTCTGCCCTGCAGGAGGAGTTAGAGGACCAGGCTCAGACACACCAGGGTGTCCAGGCAGACAAAGATTGATAGATAAGGAAAGGGAGAGGGTTCTGAGCACCGGGCCTCCAGGCAGAGATTCCTGCAGGGAAAGAGCCCTCCAGGAAGGGATTTCTGCAGGTGGGGATACCTCCAGCTAAGGTGCACCTCCTCCAGGTGAGACCCCTCCAGGGAACCCCTTCCTGACAACACAGAGAACCACTCCCAGCAGCCTGATCTGACCAGGCCGCCCGCTGCCTAACCCACACAGAGGCCTCCCCTTAGGCTACAAACATTTGGAGGACATTGGATTTTTTTTTTAATGCAAGATTAGGGAAAAATAGATGCCTTTCTCCTTCCCCCAGTGCTATTCAATGTGGGGGCCTGAGACACGCCACCCTCAATTAAGAGGTAAGCAGGGCAGAGACCACCCTCACTTCGGAAAGAAGACAGTGGCATTTGGAAGGAAAGAGCTTCCAAGGGAAGATCGTACACCGAGTGATGGATGGAGGTTTGAGCAAACTCTCCACCCTCTTTCTGCAGGAGCTGACGTGGCTCTGAGGGGCAGAGCCCTGGGCACACCAGACCCTAGAGGACCTCAGAGCCGCTCTGGGGCCCCAGTGGGTCAGCAAGCTCAAGCGACCCATTGGGCACACGGCCTTCCCTTCAGAGTTCGGTGGTTAACTTCTGGAAACACTCACACTGGCAATGGGCACTGTGGAGCTCTTGAGGAGCGCTGCAGAAAGATTAATCTGGAAATGGCTTTGGGGTGGACACCAGAGACAGGCCAGGGAGTAGCCATGAAAGCAGCACCGATGTGACTCAGACCTGGAAGGAGACTGGGGCCGGGAAGCATGATGGGTCAAACGGGAGGACTGGAAAGACAACTGTCCCGAGCAGGCACAGGGCACGGGGAAGGAGGGCGCAGGGGCCAGGTGTGGCTCTGAGCCCAGCAACCAGCCCGCGGGAAGGTCAGAGCCACGGCCTGGGGAGTTGGAGGTTCAACGGCCTGACCCTAACCCTAAGTGCCCCCTCCTGGGAGGTGTGCCCTCCTGGCAAGTGTGGAGAGCAACAGCAGGGGACAGTGGCTTAGACCAGGGTCAGCCACTAGGGGTCTGGAGTCAAGCCCAGTCCACCCACTCTCTGCTGTGCAGGTGGAGCTATGCACAGCCACACTCCTCCGTGGCTGCATCACCGTGGCTACTCCTGTGGGAGAGACGGAGCTGAATAGCTGCGACAGAGTAGCTGGCTTGTAAATACTAAAATACTACTGACCCTCTATGGAGAACGTTGCTGACCCCTTGTTGGAACCATGTGGGCGGCTTCTTCCCCATTATCTTCGGGGAATTTTTAATTTTTTGTTTTTAATATATATAATAATTTTTAAAAATATATTTTATTGATTTTTTACAGAGAGGAAGGGAGAGAGGGATAGAGAGGTAGAAACATCGATGAGAGAAAAACATCGGCCAACTGCCTCCTACTCATCCCCCACTGGGGATGTGCCCGCAAGCAAGGTATAGGCCTTGACCGGAATCGAACCTGGGACCTTTCAGTCCGCAGACTGACGCTCTACCACTGGGCCAAACCGGTTTTGGCTTAACATATATTTTTATGGATTTCAGAGAAGAAGGGAGAGGGAGAGGGAGATAGAAACAACAATGATGAGAGAGAATCATTGATCGCCTGCCTCCTGCACGCCCCATTGGGGATCAAGCCCACAAAACGGGCATGTGCCCCGACCAGGAACGGAACCGTGACCTCCTGGTTCATTGATGGATGTTCAACCACTGAGCCACACCATCCAGGCTTTGGGAAGTTTTTAAATCCCCAGGACCCCTAAACCTCCTCCCTAGGATGAGACTCAGCATCAGCACCTGCTCAAGCTCCTGGGCTGAGTCCTATGGGGAGGGGTTTTGAGAAACCCTGGTAGAGAGGTGTACCTGCAGCAGCCCCACACATGGGCTTGTCGTCAAAAGGTCTGATAAGCCGAAACCGGTTTGGCTCAGTGAATAGAGCGTCGGTCTGCAGACTGAGAGGTCCCAGCTTCGATTCCAGTCAAGGGCATGTACCTTGGTTCCCGGTGGGGGGTGTGCAGGAGGCAGCTGGATGATGTTTCTCTCTCATCGAAATTTCTAGCTCTCTATCCCTCTCCCTTCCTCTCTGTGGAAAATCAATAAAATATATTTTTTAAAAATAAAAATAAAATAAAAAAAGGTCTGACAAATCTGGTCAGGAGGGCGCCATGCTCCTCCATGATCCCAGGAGCAGAAGGGAACAGTTGACCTTGAACTGGATTGAACACCTGAGTAAAAGGAGGGGAAGAGCAGCGCCAGGGCCTCCGAGGGGCAGGGGCACACTTGGATGGCCTGGGAGCCCATGACCACTCTGAACAGGACAGGTCCCCAAGGCTCCGGCCGGCCGGGAGAAAGGCCACAGGTGCCAGGCCGGCCTTTGGGGAATACAGGGCCACCTGCTTGGAGAGGGCAACAGGGAGCCTCGGGCCAGCAGCAGGGACCTGGCCACTGGCCACTCAGGACCTCACGCTACAGCATCCAGAATGCACATGGTTCTCAGAGCACCTCATCCACCCTGCAGGGCGCTAACCATGCTGTTTGCTCTCCGGTGTTCTCCTGCTTCTCCTGGCTATTCTGTCCCTTCTCTGACATTTGTATGCAGTTTGAGAGCCCGTGTGGAGTTAAGCCAGCAAATCTGCACAGAGCTGAAGTGACACAGGGAGGCATACCCTCCTGGGCCTGAGGGAAGGCAGCACGCCGTGGGGCATTTTGCTACTCCAGGCATTCCAAGTGGCTAGAAATAGAAATGAAATCACCCTGCAGATGTCCTTGGCCCAGGGACCCTGGAGGAGTTGCTTGGCCAATGCAAATGCAGTGTACTAGCTTTTTATTGCAGATATTAAGTCAATAAAAAGGCTCATCAGATAGGTCACAATGCACTGGACTAGTGACTTGTAGGACTGTTGTGTGTCAAAGCAACCAAGTCAGCAGCTGTGATTCCAGCATAAATACAACACATTAAGATGTCAAAGCTAGCTCAAAACAAAGTCTCACCGAGGCACAGAGGGCCGATGTGACTGGGAGAACTGTAAGAATCCAGACGTTTGGATTTTAATAGGGACGCAGGCGCGGTGGGATCCACGGAGGAGCAGGGTGAAGCCAGACACACCAGCCAGTGCTCTCGCTTACCTCCGTCTGGTAGACGTCGGGCAAGTATCCCACCCCACTGGAGTAGAACTGGCATCTTCCCGTGGTGAGGGGTCTTGTCTCCTAGAGACAAACACAAGATGGATTTCAGAGTTTCATCTCTACATAGCCAGTGGCCGGAGGCAATTTCAGACCTGTCTGCCGTGTTCAGGTCTCTCTAAAGGAGAAACGCCAATGACAACCAACAGCCTGCCCACGCAGAGCACCCAGCAGAAAATGCCACACCTCGCTCCAGAGCAGCCGGCTCCTGCATCCGGGAGGCGGATGAGTAGAAGCTCCCAGCAGAGCAGGCACCCTGTCCCTGCAGGCAGGGCTGACACATCTCTCATCGGTCAGCACAGGGCAGCTGACGGGAGGGAATTGCAGGACTTGTTGAGGTACACTCTCAACAAGCTGACCCCTTGGCTCCTGTCTCTTTCTCAGAAAGCAAAATATACTTTTCCACTAGGAAGGGAGCAAGATGAATTTCAGACTAATTTACTCACCAAGCCAATCACCCACCCACCCAACCATCCACCTAAGCATTTAATCATTTAATTATCTATGCATCTATTCATCTATCCTCCATCCCTTCATCTATCTATTCTCTATCAATCCATCCAATCATCTCCATCTATCCACCCACCAGCCACCCAGGCATACATCCACCTATCGCCCTACATAACTATTCATCCATCAGTCTCTCCATCAAGCAGACTCAGAGCCAAATTATAAGGGTGTAGTTCCTGCCCTTAGGGAATTAGTGAAGAAGACAGACCAATACAAAACAAAAACACTGATAATTATAAAGTGCTTATAATCTCTGGTAGAGAACAGCTATAAAATGCCATGAAACTATATAATCTGTAAGTTATAAAATGAGTTAGAATCCCAACAACCATATTTAGGCCTAATACTGTATTATGTTAGTTGTAATTCTCAAAGCAGTCCTACTTCTGACCTAAGAAAAGAGTATAAAAAAACTATCTTTTCTTAGGAAGGCAAGGCTGGTTTTTCCTTCAAAACCAGAGTTCCCAAAACCACCTTGCAGACCCAAGCCTTCAATTTGGTGGGGAAGTTAAAAACCTTAAAATGATCTCATTTTGGAAATGCTCTTACGAAATTACATTAACCAGTTGTTCTCCATCTCCATTGAGAGCGAGAGATGGGTTTGTGAGCAGCCACAGACACACGGTCAGAGTTGATCCTGGTACTAAGGGTCCTCATGCCCCACTCGGACTTCACACGGGCTGCCTCGTGGTGAGAGGAAACCAGTTGGCTCGAGGTCAGGTAGCAACGCTCGTATGCCCCTGTAAGCAGATGTCCATGTGCTAACACTGCCCCCAAGTACACATCCGTCTCCGGGCACTCCTCCCTCACCAGCATCCTGAGGGCAGACATGGCATTTTCTCGTAGAAGATCTTGGGATTGTCAATCCCCAGCTGGCATGGGTTTGAGCACTAGGACACTTGCTCTTCGAGGAAAGGGCGAGGCATGTCCATCTTTGCACCCTCAGCTCAGGTGAGGCCCTGGATCAATATTGCTGATAGAGTGACACTTGAGAAAAATGCAGGTAAGACAGTCCAACACCAAAGCAACCTGCTGACTTCAGTAACTTAGCACTGGATGGGAAATCAGGTTCAGATCAAAAGATATGCTTTCTGTTCCAACCAAACAGTGTGCTGAAACCATGACAACAAATATGGGCGGGGGACACCTAGTTCAATTATCTTTCCAAAAATAAGAAACATTGGGAGTCTGGGACAAAGTATACATCATTTCCTAAAAAGTGCTATAAATGTAAATATTCAACAGACAGTGAATAACCTAAAAGGATAATTGTGGTACAGTTCTGACGTTGGCTGGGGATATTAGGCCTCCACCTCTTCCAGGTGACTCTCTAGCCCACAGGACCTGGGGCCTCTCTATGATCCCTGCAGGGACCCAGCTCACTCCGCAGGAGGATGGCTTCCTGGGAGGTTCTGCTGTGTTTTCCTCCGTCTCAGTCTTACCACAGGCACCACAGTAGGCTTGTTCACATCAGCATCAACACAAACATGTGAGTATTTCGTTGCACTATGACATAACGATGGCTATGAAGTCACTAGGTGATAGGAACATTTCAGCTCCGTTGTAATCTTATGAGACCATCATACATGCACCCAGTCACTGACTGAAACATCATTATGTGGTGCGTGACTGTACCATGGACAGCATCTTCCATCTCGGGCTTCCATACCATTACGTAAACCTATAAGGATTTCACAGGCTACAGGATCAAGCTGGAAAATTCTGTCATAATCTTTTAAGAGAAACAAATTTGAACTATAAAAACCTGGGAAGGTATGAGTCAGCAGATTTCGGGATATATTTCATCTTGTTAGAGAACAACCTAAGGAAAGTTACTTGGGAAGTTTGATTTAATTCTGACTGATGGAATGGTGTGTGTGTGTGTGTGTGTGTGTGTGTGTGTGTGTGTGTGTGTGTGTTTTGCAGGCAATAAAGAAAAGTGAGAGAAGGAAGGACATCAGTTGCCAAACAGAAATGGAGGGGGAAACAGCAAAGGTCTCTCAGCTTTGGGAAGTTATTTTTGTATATAGATCTTTCGAACCCAGGAAAGGGATTGAGAACAAAATGAAAAAGATGGAACTCACTATGTGCCGAGCGGCAAACACGCCGTCCACGATGGCACAGCAGAAGGCGGCCACCACGCCGAAGCTGATAAACACAATGGCTGCCACCAGCTGGAAGCAGAAGACAAGAGGAGGGTGTGGGCGTCCAGTGCTGAGCAAAAACCTTTTTTCAAATACAGACCAGTTCAAAGTCCCGCCCTGATGTTAGTCCTGCCTTTTGCAGAATTCTCCCTTCTTCATTACCACCTCCGTCCTCAGTGACTCACAGCCTCAAACAGACCCTGGGCCAGCGCTTACCCACTACAAGGGACATTCTTACTGATTTTATTTCACACAATAAATAGGCTGCTTTGTGGGTGGGGATCTTCAGTTCCCCGCCCCTCTGCACAATCCTCACGAATAATCAGAGATTATGTAACCAGCGCCTACAATGGGTATTTATTTATTTATTTTCTTTACAATGGGTATTTAAACAGTTTCCAATTTCTTGCTATTACACACTCTGCTACAAATACCCTAAATGTGTTCCCTATATAAAATCTGTATGAGTATTACTCATATTAATGTATGAGTAGAATAGATTCCTAGAACATTCAAGGACCCATACTTTTAGATGGGATTTAGGATCTCTGCCTTAGACTCTGAGTGAGAAGGCTACATTGCCCTATAAAGCGGCTTGGCCAATTTGACTCCCTTCCGCTGATAGCCTATCACCCATCTCCTTAGATCCCAAACAACATTTCATAGTATTAACCTTTTATGTTTTACCGATCTGAGGTTGATGATCTTTTTTTTTTTTTTTTTTTTTTACAGTTGTTGGCCATTTCTTTAAACTTTTGCTTGTGAACTAATTTCAAGTTCACCAAAACAAATAGCAACAACCGTACAAGGGATCCTGTGTCCTTCCCTCCAATTCCAACCCTTTCAAAACCACCTTAATGCCTTTCCTTAGCATAACTCCTCTCTCCCTCAATGAGAACCCCACTTTTGTGAGCCACAATATACACATTTCCTCGGCCCTAGGATGTGCACTAGTTTTGGAATTACAAACCCAAACCTTGGGAAAAACAAGCGACTACTTAGAGTCCAATATTTGTGTGCAGTTATTTTTGCCTCCAGCCTTAGAGAATATGGTCAAAACCTGTTTCCCCGCGTGACAGGTTGGTTCCCTCCCCTGTGGCTGAGTTAGCATTAATAATGCAGTCAGGCTCACAGGTGATATAGTCCGTATGGCCCTCTCCCTCTCCATCCTTGTGAATCTGCATTATTTATATATCCAACAAAGTACAGGGAGTTGGTCAGAAACGTTGCCTGCCCGGACACCCCAGGACTTTGAGTTCAGTTTTGATGTGAACAAGGGGACAGATGCCGAGACAAGCAGTGCCATCCATGCTGCTGTCCAAGGTGAAAGGAGGCCGGCTGGTTCCCAGGCCTACCTTGGACACAGCCCCTTTGCTCACCCTCAACTCCTGCCCCTGTCCTATGTTGCTGCCATGATGTAAAGAGTTATGTAAGAATCTTTTGAAGAATTATATCTAGCCTAACTTTCTTACATGTGTATTGTTGTTATTTTTAAAATAACAATAAAACTTGTTGTTATAAAAGATTCAGAAGGCAACTTTTAGATTTCCCAGTGGGAGGTCAGGGACCTTTGCTTTTCTGAAGGAGAAAAAAAGCTGGCCTCTGATTTGGCGGCCTGTCCTCCCAGCCTCTTCCTTTGACCTTCCTGCTATTTCCAAATGGATGATTTTTGTCCTCACTCAGTGCACACCCTTCAAAGATGAAAGACGAAGCCCCGTGGTGCTGGAAGCGAATTCTAGCATGTCAGCAGGGCTGAACCATCTGGAAATGGCTGAGGCATTTCCCCAAACTTGAAAAGGGTGCATAAATGATTGCTTGCTGCCAAACAGCTGAGGGCATTTCAATCTACATATTATTGCCTCCTGTTGGCCAAACATCTGAATAGCCCTAGGCAGTTTTTCCAATCTGACAATGAATTCTTTATACCAAACTTTACCCTTTGATGTGTACATCTACCTTGTCTTAGGACAATTTGTGTTAATAAAAAGCAAGAGATCCGAATACAAGGAAGAACTTAGTTCCTTTAGCAAAGTCTTCTTCAGCCTTCCAAAATTATGTTTCATCTCTGTATTCTTCATTAATTTACTCACAGCTACTTCTCCAGATTTTTGAACCTTTCTAGATGCCGAGAAACACACACTGGCATTGCCATGATCTATGCTTTTCTTTCATACTGGCCTTGAATCCCAGGTCACAGCAGTTCATTTTAATCAGTTGGGAGAGAATGGTGGTATGTCACCATTATTCCTGCCAAGGAGGCTTCTGTGGTTAACACAAGGGCCCTCAACACACACAGGGGACAGATGTAGCTCACACTGTCTCATAAGGGCACCCCTAATTCTTTTTATTTTGTTGTTGTTTTTTTACTTAGGAGCTTGAACTTAAACTCTGGTTTGGTTTTGTGTTTGTTTTATATTTTTTATTGTTTAAAGTATTACATATAATATTACATATGTCTTCTTCTCCCCTCATTGACCTCTCCTGAGCCACCTTCATCCCCCAGCACATGCCCTCACCACCTAATGTCTGTGTCCATTTGGTTATGTTTTTATGCATCATACAAGTCCTTTGGTTGATCTCTTATCCCCACCACCCTCCCCTGCCTTCTGCCTGAAGTTTGATGGTCAATTTGATGCTTCTCTATCTCTGGATCTATTTTTGTTCATCAGTTTATGTTGTTCATTATATTCCACAGATGAGTGAGATCATGTGATATTTATCTTTCTCTGGCTGGCTTATTATTTCCCTTAGCACAATGCTTTCCATGTTCATCTATGCTGTTGTGAATGGTAAGGGTCCTTTCTTTTTTTATAGGGGCATAGTATTCCATTGTGTAGATGTATCACAGTTTTTTAATCCACTCATCTGCTGATGGCATTTAGGCTGTTTCCAAATCTTAGCTGTTGTAAATTGTGCTGCTATGAACATGGAATATATTCCTAGAAGTGGGATTTCTGGATCAAATGGAAGTTTCATTTTTAATTTTTTGAGGAAACTCCATACTGTTTTCCACAATGGCTGCACCAACCTGCATTCCCAACACCTAATTCTTGTTGGGCAGAATTTGCAGCCAAAGTGGGTGAAGGAGAAGAGACTCAATGATGAACAGAATCACTTTGGAGTTCCCAAAGTCCTTTAGCACAGAGCATCCCATCTAATTCTGACAACTGTGATGTTATTACCTGAGAAACTTCCAGAAACAACATTGCACATGACCCCCCTCCCCCAACCTAATGCCCTGTCATTTTTCTGAGCCATGTCAAGACCTGCTGCCCTGTGAGTTTATGATGAACCAACTCAATGACTCCTCAGAGAACCTCACATGTTCTGGTCAGGTGGCCAGCCCTGGCCCTACAAGCCTGGTCACAGCTGGGACTGTCGAGAGACACTCATCTCTACTTTCACCCGATTTCATCCAGAAATTCACAGAAAGCACAAAATGTCCAAAGTAGCCTTTAACACAGCAGGACTGCCCTCAACTGTGCAGATTTATAACCGTGCTCTGATTTGGTCTTGCACAAACTGTCCCCATCAATTCTCAGTGGGTCCGACCTTGTGGCCATTCCTGCTTCCACCACCAGAAAAGTCAAGTTTAGTGCTAGCAAGACCATTCACATGGTAAACTCGCGATCACGTGTATGATAAATTCAGTGCTAGCAAGATCACATGCATCCTCAATGCAGTGCTGGGATGATCACACACATGACACTCCCCAAGAACTTGGTTGGTGGGTAAGCCCCAGAGTCTGGGTGAGAGTGTTGAGAAGGACGCTGAAAATTATCACCTCCAACTCTTCTGAATGGAAACGGAGAACTTGCCAGAATCAGCAACGGGAGAGCTGCCTCTTGGGGAAAACTGAGGTGGGTTTCCTGTAACAGCTACTTCACTCCTTCACTAACTCTCATTCAAGCTAGTAGTGAGTCTGACAATGCAAAGCAGAAACCTGATCAGTTCTTTAAAAGTACAAACAAATCGTTTTCCATATGTGAGGACTGCCAGAACCTATGGATTTTGCAAATAAAAGCTGTCTGTTACTCTAGCAACTCTGAAAGGCTCTAGACTGATATTTTAATTTAATTATTAACATTTTGATAATTACTTATTAGTATTTCATTGCACCATTTAGGGGTCTCTTCTCTTGGGAGAAGGGCAACCAGGTTATTGCGTAGGGGAAAGTCACCTTCAAATCCCTGCTGGGCTCACCGATCTGCATTTCAACAGGGAAAGTAGATTAAAAAAACAAATGCCAAATAGACAGATAAGGCTGTGGTGATAAGAGGGGTCAGAAGGAGGAAAGTGAGAACGTGTCGCTAGGAAGGCTGTCACTGGGGCGGTCAGGACTCTGCGTGCCCCTCACCCCCAGGTGGCCCTCCATCTTCTTCTCTAAACCAGCCTCCTAAAACTTCCCGCTGTGCCCTCTGGTGTCATTGGTAAACTCCAATAAGCCCGAGCCCCTTTGTAACTTCTCCCCACTGGTTCTGATTGGGTCCCTGTGCCCCATTCTTGGTGCCCTTGGCACATATCACCACGGAAACCATTCTCTCTTCACCTCCCACCACCCCAGATGTAAGTCCAGGTCCCTGACTCACTCCTCCTGGTAGCTCTCATTCACAGACCTCCAGGTCATTCCCTCTCTTTCCTGGCTCTCAGTCACCCGCACCAGTGTGACCATAGCCTGGCTTCGTGGTGACTCTGAGGCCCAGGGTGACCCTTCCACTGCCCTGGCTCTCAGCGCCTGGCCCATGTTCATGGCCTTCCTCAGCATACAGCTCCTTTCAGTGCTGGCCACACGCCCTGCACGGTCTTACTTCCCACTCAGCACTACCACACAGGCACCAACCCTCCACCCACCCGGCCCTTCACCCTGGTCCCGCACTGGTCACCATCTGAACTGTGTACACATTTCCCAGCTTCAGACTCTGTGAATACCCACAACCCCTTGCTCCTCCCTCGCGGTCTTGTATTCACTTGCCAAAACCCAAACTTAGTTAAATACAGCTCTCCCACTTCACACCTGAACAGGTGAGCAT